ATACTCTTTCTTGCGTTTGGTGATGATGATGAGGTCAGTGAAGACAAACAGGTAGAGCTGCTTGCTCTTGATCATGTGGCGATTGAACAGTTTCTGCTCCACCTTTAGTCTCACTACTGTCCCCTTCTTCTCCAACTGGCGACTGGCAGACACCAGTGGGAATGGCTGCAGTAGGTAAGTAGAGGCAGACAGGGAGAGATGTAGAGGGAGAGTGGAGGGAGGGGGAGCAGAGAGAGGAGAGAGGGAGAGGGAGAGGGAGAGAGAGAGAGGAGAGGGAGAGATTTAGAGGGAGGGAGTGGAGGGAGGGGAAAAAGTGAGAGGTATACAGTGGACCCTCCGATAAGGAACCCTCCGAGACAGGGACGACCTCTCTACAAAGGACACTTGCTTCAACCCCATGTTAATACTTGTGACCTCTGAGATACGGACTTTAGTGTATTATTTCATCTCAAAGATAGGGATGACCTCTCTACAAGGGACAAAATCGTTGGCCTCATAGTGTCCCTTGTTTGGAGGTTGAAGTGTAAAACAACAAACGAGAAGGAGGAAGAGAGAGAGAGAGAGGGAGGCAAGTAGAGAGAAGGGAGAAAGGGAACCTTTAGTTTCCCAAAGTCGAGCTGTCTGTGGATGTTGTGCAGCTGTTCAGTTCTCTCCATTCTGCGAGCTCCATCGTTACACTCAGTCACCAGCTGTTGATGACAGAGCTCTTTGAAATATTATCACAGTTCAGAGAATGTTCGGGCAAGGGAATTCAAAGAAACCTAAACTATGTGGTGTTTGTATGTACATGAGCATTGCGACGGTGTTTATAAAAAATGGCACATTTCTTCACATGAATGCGTACAATGTACTGTACTATTACGTGAGATACAGATACATGTAAAAGCATGTTTATAAGGAGTCATATATACTCTAACAAAATGACCATAAAAATAAATGATAACTGAAGCAAACACACGTACATACAGAGCATGAGCACCGCCTGTACTTACTTTCTGTATAGTTCTGAGGGCGTTCTCCACTATTCTGTGATCCGGATGGTCCAATGGTGTCTTGTTCAATATGGCCAGAATTAGTAGGGGCAGCCTCGTGATGCGCTGCATGGGCAGCAGGAGGAAGGACTGCATGCTGAGGTGCTGGCATCTCTTGTGCGTCTCCAGCCTCCGCAGGTACTCCCGGAACATCACGTTCTTCTCCCTGGACCAGACAGAGAGAGAGAGAGAGTTTGGTGAAGAATTGGGGTGGGTCAGTCAGAGCTTTATAAGAGCTGGTCTGACCACCATTATTACTTCAGACATATGGCGTTTCGAACAAAGTGTTACAGAGGCATGCAAAAGTATACCAAACTTTTTGTTATTATGCAAGCCCCCCTATAATACTTCGTTCAAAACACAACATGTCTGCAAGTAATGCTCGTGGAACCGACTATTAATACAGACAGAGCTGGAGATGACTCACAGGCACTCCTGGAGCTCTCTGGTCTGGTAGATCTGGTTGGTACAGTAGCGAATGTAGCAGTCAAACCTCCTCTCTGCCTGCATGTCAACGTACACAGCAGAACATTGCAACACACACACACACAAATAATCCACATTACAAAATGCTAGCATCCACTGCGAGGTTTGCCAGATAGGCAACGACCGCATGCACTAGTATAATATACTTATAGGGTATAAGGGAGGCTTTTGTCTGAGAGTTGTAGTGCACCAGACTTCCAATCATGATGCCAGAGTTTCACTTGGGGACAAAAGTTGGTTTTCTATCACTTCCCCTGTCTTCCATCTACCAGGTCAATGAAAAGCACTAAAGTGCAAACCCTCGGCGAACTGCGCATGCGCGGTACTGCTAATGGATGGGCTGGACTATTAGCGTTAACCCACGGTCTCCCGCTAGTAGCTCGCGGAGAGTCTGACACGGGCTAGCCATGGTAGTAGATAGCATGCGGGAGACGATACACGCCCTTCGCTGTGGCTTCTTGTGCCTCCAAAGTTCACAGAGCAAGCGGATCAGGTCGAGGTGAGCCAGCATATCATCGCGTTGATTGCGTCTAATAGACGCATGCGCACCACTAATTGATGGGTTGGTCCACACTACGTGGTCTGGGACTGTGCCAGTTTCTCAAGCTCGAACGCTGTCGTTTCAGAAAAATCCCATTTTGTTTTTCATGCGCTTGTATATATATAGCACTGAAGCATTTGGTATCGCTCTTAGGCCGCCTCGTAGCCTGTAGTGCGAGAATAGTCGGACTGACATACACACACACACACACACACACAGACCAACTACTGTAACCCTCGCTGCGCATGCACGCCGAGGGTTAGCTACCTAGACCAAAGTGTGACACAACTACGAACTCACATATTCAAGGATGATGTCAGCGATGCCTTTGATGACAGCAGTTTCGCTTTGTCTTGCCCTCAGCTCCTCCAAAAATCTGCATAACACCACACATTCCCATCACCATGTGACACTCTCATACAGCTTAAATGTGTCCAGAGCCTCCATATAGGGGTATTAATACAGGGGCGTTCTGCTTATTTAAGCAGATACCCATGGCGTCCAAAGGGTATGTACATGCAGACTAAAGGTATAAGACAAGTGTTCAAAGGAGGCAGTTACTATTATGTCGGCTTTGGATGACTATAAATAGGTTACGGTAGCCACTCTGTGTGTATGCAGTATACTGTACATGTGGCCTCAGTATTATTATGTACACAATTATAGTAGTGCATGTGCACATTAAAAGGAACACCACCTGTTACACTACGGAGGTGTAAAGAAGAAATGAAGTATGTCCTCTATCAACTCTAAGTCTGCAATTACGGTCAGACATGTGAGTGTGGACTGTTTGATAGACTGTTTGATAGATGTCTCACCTGGCACTGACCTCCCTGACCTCCTGGACGTTGGAGAAGATGACGTGGTGCTGTCTCTTGTCCAGGACCCTCCTCCCCTCAGGGAGGTGGGGGTTCATCCCCGGGTCCTCCATGAAGTGCTCTATCAGCACATCCAGACTCCGCAGGTACGTCGCTTCAGTCGTCACCACCTCAAACATGGCCTGCAGTGCAAGTGTCATTAATGAGGTCAAAGTACAGCAAAGGCACACAATATTCCGTGCTAATGTATTCAGGCCATGGCCTGTCTTGAACACTCTATAAATTTTTTCAAAGTAAACGTCCCGAACTCCTCGACCACCGGTATCAAGAGCAGTCGACACAACCCAGGACAACTCTTTTTCCTTGAAAAAGATGTGCCCTGGATGGGATTGGAACCCACAACACTCTGCACTCTATGTGAGCGCTCTCTCTACCAGCTGATCTACCAGGGCAACCGAGAATGTAGGGGTTCAAATCTACAACGGAAACACAAGACAAAGGCAGACCTAAAACCACTTTGCCATGGCACTCTCGCTCAGCATTCCAGCTATACATTTTCAACAACCTTCTCTACCACATAATAATTAACCCAGGATAGGTTTATTGCCTTTATTATGATTGCTTGCTAACCTCTTGTAGTTTTTTCTCATCTTCAGATAAACCGTCCAGAACACCACTCTTTATGATCTACAGAATAAAACACACATACTTTTCCCATTCTGTGTGCAACAGTACAATGTATATACAGTGATAGGCAATTCCTGTGGTTGGTGGGATGTAAATATCGCAGAAACAATTTCTTTACGGTGAAATGCATGAGCAAATAAACAAGTGTATAGTATTTCCGCAAGCAATAGATGTCGACCCACAAAATTTTACAGCCATGAAAATCACTAGAGGTTCTCTCCTTTAACACTTAACCAGCCACGGACACACAAATGTGTCCAGACCCTCCATAAGTCCATAAGAATTTATATGGGGGTTATAATACTAGGCGTTAATACTTCATACGTAAAATTCTGCTTATTTAAGAAGATACCCACGGTGTCCAAAGGGTTTAAATGTCAAACGGAATGTGTCAGTACACAAGGGCTATATTAAGACATGTCACCAAAGATAGGCCCAGAGAAAGAATTTATTAATACTGCCACATTCCCTTGTGCAATCTGCACATACATACACACACGCACAGTACACGTGTGTGTATACTACCTCGGGTTGTTCACACCAGAGTCGTCTGCTGGAGAGATGTCTGGCAATGTCCAGCTGGTTCTTCGTCAGTCCGGGCTTGACGCTCTCCTGTGGAGTACGCAGGAACTCCGCCGTGTTGATATACTGGTACAGTGGCTCTATATTAACACATATGCAGGTACCATAATATGAACTCCGCCGTGTTGATATACTGGTACAATACACATCAGCATGATAGGTATGTAGCTTAATTATTATCCAGGTATTATAAATAATAATTTTAAACTCCGCCGTGTTGATATACTGGTACAGTGCCTCTATGTTAGCATGATAATAATTATGTACTTAACATAACGAAAAGCACTAAAGTGCAAACTCTTGGCGAACTGCGCATGAGCGATACTGCTAATAAAAAGCACTGAAGTGCAAACCCTCGGCGAAGTAGCTCGCAGAGAGTCTGACACGGGCTAGCTACAGTAGTAGATAGCACGCGAGAGTCGATACATGCCCTTCACTGTGGCTTCTTGTGCCTTCAAGACAGGCGGACGTCAAGCCTGTGTTAAATATAAGCGCATGCGCATTATCCACCAGCGATAAAATGGCGACTACCGGCATTAGCCATACAATGCTGGAAGCGCTCTAGTTCTGCAACGGAGCATTTTCAGAGAAAACCCCACATATTTTCTGACCTTCGTCGCCCGTTGGGTAGATGGTATCGTTTCTGGGACGAAGAGACATTCGAGAGGTGAGATGTAGAGTAACACACAGACACAGACAAACCCAACTACTGTAACCCTCGCTGCGCATGCGTGCCGAGGGTTAATTATACAGGTCTTATAACTATGTACATGGCACCCATCTTTGAATGATTGCCAATTCACATTGGTATTATCATTATGTACGTATGTGTACCTTCATCAGCTGGGACAATATAGCCACTGACGGGCTGTGGAAAAAAACATTGTGAATTAAACAGTGTGAACAAAACAGCAGTGACAAGCATGTACATGATAGGATAATGTGTTGCTCATCCTCCACAATTGCACGTGGCAATTGAACATACCATAATGCTGACTATGTTACTACAGACAATTGTACCTTCACGTACGTAATGTAATGCACGCAATCCCACAAGTGCATGCATTGCATCCCTTACCCTGTCTTCTCTCTTGTGGGATTTCGGTCGCTCCGTGTAGCGAGGAAGAGGGGGCTGGGGAAGACCTGTACACGACAATCAAAGTTATAATACATGTAGTACGTACATTTACAATTCCTCTTCAGTGTATGTATGTTGAATGTATGGGTATGATAGCTGTACACATGTGCTGTATCTTGGTATGTAGCTCGCCAAAAAATATATATATAATTTTTTTTTTTAAAATACAGAGTCTCGGGAACCACTCAGAGTAACGGCAAACCTTGCTGTGTAGGTGACTCCACTGTCTCCTCGTCAGACTCATCGTCACTGGACGAATCTCCCTCGTTCTCGGGGGCAGACATCTTCACAGACCTCTCCATGCGATCGTCCAACTTGTCCACAGACGGCGTCCGGTGGACAGTCTGTCTGCGTGCGGCAGCAAAGGCGTTCTCCTCCGTGGGGACGAGGATCGGGAGTTTGTTCTTCTTGAATCTGTCAGAGTTCGATCGCCGGAAAGTGAACGCCGAGAAACTCTTGGCCTCTCTCCGGAACGTGGAGTCCGATCTCAAGTCAGGGTCAGACCCCTTGGAGTCGTTTCGAGTCATCTTCCGGAAGAATCCGGCGCCACGTGCCTTGCCCGTTTTTCGACCTGGGACTGCTTCAGAGATTACGTCGTAGATTCTGTCCTTTGGCGAGGGAGAGGTACACCCGCTCGACGCAGACTGAGTGTCGCTCTTGTTTTCTCCGTCGTCGCTCATCCGGGACGGTGGACTCATTCTCTCCCTGGGTTTGATGGGTCCTCGTTTCAGCAGAGTCTGCTGGCGGTCTTTCTTCTTGGGGATCGGCTGTGAAGGGAGAGGGGGAGGAGTATCGTCACACGAGAGTGGCGAAAGTGCTGCAGCTGGTGCTGTCACACCACCACCAGAGTCGGGACTCGATGCATTGGTGAGGAGTTTCGGAGGTTTATTTGGATCGAGGAAGGTCATCTCGTAGTGGGTGGTGCATTGCTTGCGAGCAGAGGGTGACGACTGTCCCTGGTCCGCCTCAGGCTTCTTGGGAGTATCGGTCCCTGACCCTTCAGTTGAGGACTTGACGGACTGTTGATAGAGTCTCTCGAGCTGTTTGCTCTCTTCAGACGTGGCGTCAAACACTTCGTAGTTCCGTGATACGTCATCGACCTGGGAAGGCGAGAGAGCAGAGCTGAAGAGACTGTGGCGTTTATGAGAGGCGGGATCAGCGGTGCAGGCGTCTGCGGTTGTACTGCGACCCACTGTCTTCGTTCGCGTGGGGAAGCTGGGAGGGGGGCTGGGGCTGAGCGGGGGACTTGGAGGACGGCGACGGGGCGATTTCTTTCCAGAAGCTGTGGGTGGTGTTGTTTCTCTCTGCGAGTTGGGAGGGCGCTTTTAGCCTACGTGCCACAGGTGGAGGTTGTTTGCCACTGCTTCCGTCAGCAGCAGGAGGCAGCTGAGGTGCAGAAGACCCCGCCAGTAGTGCTTGTGGCTTCAGCCTTTCTCTCGTCTCCTCCCTTTCTGAAAGGCACGGGTGGTGGTGGAGGGTCCTCCTGGCTGCTGCTGCTGCTGCTGCTGCTGCCGCTAGTTGTGTGGAGTGCAGGGTGGCAGCGCTGTACAGCCGCTCTCGGATCGATCTCCCAACTTCCTTCAACAGTCGCTCGAGCACAGGGCTCCGTGGGGGAATGGGAGGAGGGACTGGAGAAGCCGAGGGGGTTACAGAAGGACTCTCATCTGGTGTTGGCGTTTGACCCATTTTCGCCGGTACAGTTATCGTCCGGCCATACGGACGACGTTTAGTTGGTGGCTTTTCGGGGGGCGAAACAGTTTCAGTTTGGGTGTTGTTATCTGGAGAGGTGGCAGTGGTAGGGTCACTACTAACTGTGGCTGCAAGATTTCCTTCGCTGTTAGAGTGCATCATCAGGAGGCCTGGCTTTCTTGGCAGCAGTGCAGGCTTCTGCGGTGGTACAGGTTTCCGTTTCGCCACGAGTGAAGAAGGGAGACTGGAAGGAGACTCGGGGTGGTATCGCCACCAGGGGATGCCACTCTCTGCTGCCCAGGAGGCTTCGGTCTGGGTGGTGGGCCGTTTGTTTTTGGGGTGGAGGTTAGAGGGAGCTTGGACTTGGTGGGCAAGAGTTGTGGTCGTGGGGTGGGGGAGAACCGAGCCGGCTTTGTTGTGGAGTTGGCCATCGGTGCCTTCTCTGAGTCACTCTCTTTGTCCTCGCTCTCTTCCCTCACGTTGGAGAGTTTGCGAGGCACAAACGTGGGGCTCGAGACTGACAGTTTGCTGGCACCCTTCTCTAGTGAGAGAACATTTGACTCGCTACTGGTCTTCCTGATGTTTTGGTGTGGTGTCTTTGAGCTCCCAATGAGCGGAACCCTCTGCTCTGATTTGCTGTGGACACCGCCAAACTGGGCCCTGCGCGCCTCGACTGTCGCGAAATCCACAGAGTCAGTGTCTCCTGCTGAGCGGAGTTTGGCCCGTTGGTAGATTGGCAGCTGTGGAGACTTCCTGCCGTTGCTGTGAGTGGAAACTGGTGGTTTTGGTCTGGCAGGTTTACTGGCCACTGGCGGAGGCCTTGGTCGGGGAGGTATCTTGGAGAGAAGCGAAGTTCTCGAAGAGGCGGCATTGGAAACCGGTTTGGGGGCAGAGACGCGTCCGTCTGTTCTGAGAGGGGAACTGAGGGAGGCTTTCAGGGGACGTTTCGTGACCGGCGGGGAGGCAGCTGCTGCTTCTCCTGGCTTCAAACGTGTTGCCGTCTTTCCAGAGACTCTCTTCTTGGAGTCAGTGCTGTCTCCACTAGACGGCCTCGAGTTGCCACTCCCGCTTGTTGCAGCAGCCGCAGAGGCCAACTTCTGCTGCAGGGAAGAGGAGAAGACTTCGCTGCTGAGGTCACTGGCTCGGGAGTCACGGGAGAGCGAGGTGAGATCACTGGTAGATCCACCACCGTCGGATACCACTTTCTCATGGCCTGAGGTGTCCATGTCGGATGTCTCGCTAGAGAGGGGTGCCGTGGAAAAATCAGAGTCCAGCCTCTTTCCACACCACGGAGCCCTCGGTTTGCGAAGAAATGACGAGGAAGAGCCGTAGCCGGGGTAGAGCGAGGTCCTGTCGGTGTCACTTGTCGAGTCACGGTGGAGGTTCTCGTCCGAGTTGAACTTTGAGACACTCGTGCCGTTCTTTGGAACTCTGTTGCAGCCACCACTGCTGCTTGTTGTGTGATTGGTAAACGTTCTCGTACTGTCGGCAGGGGTCGTCTTACGTGTAGCGATAATCTCCGTGTCGGCGGCATCTTCCAAGGCGGAGGAATACTCTAGACCACCGCTGGCTTCAGACCCACTGGAGTGACTGCTGGAGTCTGTGGAGACAGGCGGAAGGTTTGGGGTACCCGAGTGCGATCGGTGGCCGTCCTCTGCCACTCCGTTGTGGTCACATGACTCGCTGCTGCCCCCGCCACCCGGGGGGCACCCAGACCCCCCACATGAGCCTCCTCGTGGGAGTCTGTGTCTGTCGTGTCACTCGAATTTGGACCTGTGGGAGGTGCACATTCACAGAATAAACAAACACAAAGATTTGTGCGCAATACAAGATTGGTACGTATAATGTAAGGTGTAAGGCAACGTGGCATGCCCCAATTATGATACAATGCAGGAATGCAACAAGTTTCCAGCTGAGTGCCCTCCACCACTTACTATGTGTAATAGCTAGTCAAAGGCAAACACTACCAAAAGCATACCAAATCAATGGCGTGCAACCAACAATTCATCAGTAGCACACACCACACAACAGTCCCCCCAGACACACATAAAGAGAATAGTGTGTTTGTGACCTGGTGTAGTAGTCTCCTGAGTGCTGATGTCAGCAGAGGCAGGTTTTGGTTGTTTCATGGATTTCCTGGAGCGAGGCTTAACCCGAGACTTTCGAGACGACGCTCTTCTCCTGCAACCACACATGGCACAGTAGAGAGTCAGCAACACAGAGTGGTATACATTATGCTATAAGGACATGCATCTTAGGTGTAGTAGAGTAGTAATCTCATCCACTTTTGTACATTGAAAGGCTGCAGATGTGCAAGAGTCAGCCTGTATCAAACGCTGCAAATGGTACATAGACACTAGACAGTGCGCACTTGTTAGGGCAACTAGTTGTAAAGACACAATACTATAGCTCCTACAGATGAGCAGAAGGTTCCTAGACAACTACACACACGATAGACAATTAAAACTGTTCAACAGCCCTACCTATCACAGCATGTAACAAACATCTCCCCAGCCAGGCTCATAACTGCAGTACAAACACTTCACAAATCTATGTTGCAACTCCTACTAAGGACTAAGACCTTTCCAGCTTAGAATCTAGACTACGGCTAAACTGAGCCTGCCCCACCTCAACAGAGCTATATCTATTGAGAACAGAGCCGGATCTCAATCGAAACTGACGGTTATTGTCCTGGACCATTAGTGGACAGCCGGGGCTTTGTGTGGTACAGTGGCTCACACACAGAGGTCTGCTATGGGAGGTGCACTGTTAGACACACTGAGACAGACACGACAGGTACACCTATTGATTCTATGGTCAGGTGTACTACATGCACACATACAGCATTTGAGGATGTATTTGACAGCATGGCCTGGGCTTGGCTTAGAGCATTCATGCACACACAATCTTCTGCTTGTCATACGCACACACAGGCATCACGGAAAATCTTCTAGCGACTTAAACTCTGCATGCGACTGTAGATAGGGCCTTAGTGTAATTGTGCATGTGTACAAAGGTGCTAGCAGAGTACAATGTCTTAATATTCAATGTGTATGTGATACAGTAGTGTATAGGGATTAGACAAGCTTTCGTCTGGGAGGTACAGCTCAGTGTGTACTGGACGTCCAGTCACGACACCTTAGTTTGACTCTGGTGAAAAGTTCTCTTTCCCTTCCGACCTGTGCGTCTTCCATCTACCTGGTCAACTAAGAATACTCATACCTCGAAGAGACGGGAGTGGTTGAGGGGCTGGAGGGAGGACTGGCAGCATTTCCTTGACCCATACTTGGAAACACCATATGTAGACCACCTGGAAGACACGCACCAGAAAGGAGAGAAGGCAATGTTTATACATGTACAGTAGTAGGGCAGATGTATAGCATGTTGGTATTTGGACATCAAAGTAACTGTAAAGTGACACATGTGAAGTAACAGCTACGGTGGAATTGAAAGCTAGCAATCTCTCTTGCATCATTCCAAAAGGTCATCAATGTATGTACAATCTCATCCAAGAAAAAGTGTTTCTAGAAAGAGTTAAGCCCATGTGTAGATAGATAGAGAGTTGCTCGGTTTCTTGTCTCTCGCAATATGTATGTATCATCAGACTGGTATCATGTATACCTAGGGCAACCCTTATTTTTTCCTTGGAAAAAAGAGCTGTCCTGGGTGTAGTTGACTTGTTTGTTGTGCCTTTGCCTTTCTACCTCGTAGCTGACACATACACAGGTGGCATTAGACACTGTCCTATTTCTGGCAACTTATGCTTCAAGTTGCCTCATTGTATGATGGTCTAAAGTTGCTCACTCCTACTGAACTGGCTGTGTGCATGACATGATACACTCCCACAGTAGCTCACAGACATACCATAGACAGTGGGGCAGACCAATATAAGGCAAGTTTGCACTAACAACTACCTAATACATTGTCCATCAGTAGGTCACACTACAAACACCACAGCTACAGTAACACCACAACCACAGTGCGGAGCGCGCCTAGGATATACACACAACAGTTATCCAAACATTCAACTATTACATGTGAACCCTTTCATTCCTGGATAGGTGACTTCCTGAAGTGAATAGTACAGTTTTGCTGTTTATATGTGGGAGGCTGGGTAGTAATAAATCACCATTGGGCCCACTCAAGATTCACCCAACACACACACACAGCTAATTCACGACACTTCAAACATACACACACCACCTACAGGCCCCAGCAGATGCCACCATTGTCCCACAGACAGGAGACTCCTTCAACTTCCTCTATCAGGTTACCAGTAAGTATGTACCTTACTCTACTTACAATGAAGTCCCACAGTTCTAAACCTGCGTTCAGAATCTTCTATATATATATAGGGAGAAAACTCCAGAAACAGTTTGTGGACCATGTTACTTGTGCAAGTTTTGTGGTAGAGTATCGTGACAATCGACTCCGGTTTTTACCAAAAACATCGTCCTTTGCTACCAAATCACAAACAAAGTCCAGTACTGAATCACATAAGTTCACCGACATGTAACAGTAATCCAACCCAAATTAATAATCATCAGCTGCATTCATAATACTTCATTGCCATTTGTACATACAGGTGTACTTCGGCAGCCATGAATGATACTTAATTGACATGAAGCTGAGGTGGTGTTTTAACACAAAGATCTGTTCACACCTACAAACAGTCCTTTGAGCATGGCTGCACACACAACACCATACAGTAGTATGCACACAAGCCAAACCTGTAGGCACATTGTTGTGTTGTACATATAATACCAGGCCAAGGGCATGCAGAAGTCCCAAGTAAACGTCCTCTATGAATTCACCTCAAAGGAAAGAGGCCTCTAGTTGGTTCCTGAGTATGTTCGGAAGGGAGGAGGCGATGGTTACTAGATGGCCTAGCTAAAGCCCATCAGAGATGGAACAGGGAAATAAGTTTGACAACCAAAAATCTACGTGGTAACAAGTCAACATCGGTTAAATTTGCTCTATAAACAGAAAGCAATGTTTTCCTGGGCTTTTGATGCAGTAAGAGTCACATGAATAATAGCTATTGTTCCAGTTGTAAACAGCAATGTATCGCGTATTCCCCCACATTTACAGGATTATGAACAGAACTATATGGAAGTCAAGGATACCTATATACGTATGAACACTCTAAATTCTGTAGAGAAAACTGTCACACACAGGACGCCAGGGGATTAGTGAGACAGGAAGACAATTGAGCTGTGTGAGCATAGTGCCCACTTCTGGCTGGCCAAGTGCCACGGTCTCTTCTTACTTTCTTACTTACAGCTAGCTAGACAGACTCTATGCTGGCAGGGTTACAGTGGGTGGGAGAGGAAGGGTAGAGGGGGAGGAGTGGAAGGTTTCTGCTGTGAGGAGAGAGTCCAACTGGGAAATTGACAAATTTCCAGGTGGGACTACCAGTCATTATCCCTGGCCATGATAATAGCATACTGCCAGTCATTGGCCATAATAGACACAAATATTTGCTGATATAAACAGTCCTTATACATTATACTTCACTTCATCTTAGGCAATCACAGTGTGCATGCTATATAATAGAAATTTATCAAAATCCCTACAAAGTAGACAAGCAAGGTTCGATCCATATGCCATCTCTGCAAGTGACTCACAAGCCACCACAACCTTACGCATCTAACGGCTTTCCCGCAGTGAACGGCATACCATTACGATAGTTAGTACGTAAGTAAACACCATATAATAAGTGGAACAGCCAAATCTAGGACAGACAAACAATATTAGATGTATACAAACATCAAACAGCACTTATAAAAAATTTTTCCAGGGACAGTCGAGTAGCTACGTACATACATAGGTAGCGTAAGTACTAAATTGCTACAGAACAGTTTATATACTAGGAGCCCCTGCAAGTACGTATACAATTTCTTCACAGTAACAATACATCTATACATTGTCCAGGAAGAATTTGGTAGCTAAGCATCGTCTAGTCTAGGTAACCATGGAACGGCAAATTAAGTGCTGTGCTAGAGGGTTTGCATTACACGTTTTGCACCGCAGCTATCCCACCTCATCCTGTGTATTGTTTGATCATCACTGTTGAATTAGAGCTAGATCATTGGTCCCCCGGCAACAGCCCACTTCCCCTCTCCCCATACATGGCTTGCCACACAACCACAAACAATCTGTGGTCACTGCTCATTTAGGAGGGCAAAGAGTTTAACTGTACTTTCCACTGTCAGTATTTCGCAATTTCAGCACACATGTTAGCAACATTGTTCTCTGTTTCATCAATTCATGCTGCTCATTTGTACCCATACCCTCCCTGTTACACAGCTACAGACATTTTCCACAGTAACTGTTCAACGAAAGTGAAACTGCCACCTTTTTACTTGTCAAACACACCTCAAATTTGCCCAACTAGCGGGACTTCTACCACAGAAATTCAATTCACTCACTCCACTGACTTGCTAAAAGCCACATGCATACTTACACACACAGTTCACTATTGCTAACAGTCTCAGCTCTTGACTCCCCCCCCTAAGATAGAGCCTGCCAATCACTCCTTCAATGGCCCTTGCTGTACTAACATTATGTAGAGTGCCTTTGCTCCAATGGAAACGTCTGAAAGAGACACTACTCTATATGGTGACATACTGTATGGTATAATGGCCAACATGTGTACCAAACAACTAGTAGACTTGATGCTGGGATTGAAAATACACTTTACAGATACCAGCATCTTCAAAGACAGAAGCACTTTAGTCAACTAAAAATCAATCGCTGGTCTACGGGTGACGCGTACATTGTACTCTGATGGCCCATGCTTAGCAGCTAGAATTGCAGAATAGCTACAAGCCTGCTCATAAAAACACAGTGTTATACGTGTTTTTGTGTATCTAAAACTGACAGTACTATCTCGTGTAAATAATCTCCCAGCTGATGCCGCGCACGTACATACCTACTGCGACGTCCTTGACGTAGGCAAAGGGAGACCAGAGGGCTTGTAACATTTCATACCAGTGGACGGCAGGATCTGGCTCCGCGAGACTAGGACGGGGCGGCGAGGTGCAGTCAGGTACCTAGGCCTTGCCCTAGCTCTCTATAGCCGAGTCTTCAGAGCAATTGTGATCCAACGGAGGGAAACGCAAAGACGGGCAAGCAGCATTCAGAAACACGCTATTCCTACAATCTTTCACTGGATACAAACTCAGTGTATCAGTCACCGTCTCGAACTTTAAATCTACGCATACAGTTAGACTCTCTGCTACGGATGCAGTACTGCAGAAGTTACTCTAGCGCTCCGTTATTGTGGGGCATTCCATAGACATGACATCCTGTTAGAAGACACGCGGTGCACTACAAAGCCTTAGGGAGATTTGATTGTTGTGGTTAGAGACCTAATTGCTGGCCAGCCCAACCCACCCCGTGAATAAAATAAGAATCTCTACTGCTTTCTGGTGCATTTGTGTGAAAATGGTATGTGAATGCAAAGCAGTATAGGTTAGCAGAGTGAGAGCTGCAAAAAATTAGCACAGCCCAGCGAGTAATCAAACGCATTGTACAGTTGGACTATGCATCCACGCATTTAAGTAATATCTGATAAAAAGCGTGGTTGTTCTGACCACTATATAGGTTAGCTCCCTCCCACACACCAATAAAAAGAGATTGTGCTGAGAGTGAGTGGGTGGGGCTCCAGTAGTACTAGTGGGAATTGTGGTTAATTTGGAAACTGGACTCTTTTGACCAAAATTAGTCATAACTCAACTCAGTAGCTAACTGTTTACTATGCTAGTGAGAAACGGCCACAGGATGGTTAGACAAGGAGTATATAGAAGATGTGTACCACATATATAGCTGGTAACTTTCGAGGCAGAAAACATTGTGATTTTTCGCGGTTAATTAATGTACAATCCATGTACTTTTCTCTGCAGAGCTTTGTAGGTGGGGAATTAATGTTGTGTCATGGAGGCTGGCAATCTGTGTGAAATGTTTCTCCACGAAATTTGCATTTGCTGCTGAAAATGTGAAAATGTTTCCCCTCAAAAAGCTCCTGTGCATCTCAGATTCACTTTTATAACAAATTTGGCGTCCTTTTATCAGTCCAGTGAAATTATTATATTTTGGTGCATGTTTCTTGGTCGTGGTACATGGACACACCTTTAACAATTCTTATAGCGAACCGTTGCTATTGTTAGAACAAGTTGACAGCTCTATTTATAGACCCTATCATTTCCATAATCGTATGTGTACCAACACAAGCACTACACTAAGCCGGCGGACCTATTATGTACTATTTATGTGGACATGCATAATGATTATCGTAATTTTGGGGAACCTACAGCTGTGCTTAGAAATTGTAAACCCATTACGTGTAAGTATTATTGCCTTTTCCGTAAGTTCTCCCAAAATGATGTAACCATGAAATACGTTTCACATGTAATGTATGCAGACCTGGACACTATAGCCTGCACGTACCAATGTCGAACAATGTCCAAGTCTACCCAAAAACCTGCTAAAAATATAAAAATATAGTCCCAGGCTCCCCCAAAATGATGGAAACATGGAACCTTCACAACCATGTGATAGATCTGGACACTATAGCCTGCATTCACCACTGTTGAACAGTGTCCATGTAAAAAAAACCTGCAAAGAGCGCTTCCTTAGGAAGAGCCTGGGAACAAGAGACTGTACAATATGCATGCATACACACGGCTAAGATAGTTTTATACCCACGCTTGAGGAATGGTGCCGACCTCTTTCTTGTGTTATGTGGTATTGCCATGACAACAGGTAGAGCAGCAGCAGCACACGTGTGCAAGATGTGTAAGTGACCACCCCACACCTGTGACCAATCAGTTGCCATGGCAGTGGTTCCACATGTCTGTGCTTCTCTTTCACGGTGACCATGACGTTGACATAGTGTACCTCAGTATACAGGATATCGTGAAAATAGAAGCTCTTTTGAAACTGGCAAGGGCTCAGAAGCCTTTTGTAAATATAGACCTTCCTTCGCCTTCACATATAGCTGACTAGAAAATTGTATTGCAGTATAATAATTATAAACATCATACGCTAAGTTTCTAGCTTCAAATACGCTCTCTTCTCTATTATCATTCATGCATGAGCAAAATTCAATGTAGAGAATACGAGGGGCAAAGTGAGAGAAGGGCCTGGTGGCAGGTTATTCTAGTTTTATGTATGCCCCAGACCCCCTACAGTAAAATGTGTGGAGAAAACAGCTAAAGATTTTGTTGGGCATGTTGTGTACCCATGAACGAAGCTACACCTCATTGAATCGTGTCAGCACTAACGACGAATCAATACTACGACGGTCACCAGACCTCATCTCTCTCTCGAGGGTGGAGTTTTGGTACAAGACTAGACCAGGGGAACCCATGCTATGTCCTCAGGAAGGAAGCCTTTTCGCCTCGAAATGTCTTCATACACTCCCACACTTGTACATGCCTCTCTCTACACGTACGTATCTCTGTCACTCTCGACATTCCTTCTATCTCCCTCCCTCCTTCCCTACATCTTGTCCCCCTCACCTGTCTTTACCAGTACTACTATAGCAAATCTGATTGGAGAGGTTCCACTCCAACTACGTACAATATTATTATTGCACAGAAACATTCATTCCTATGAACAGTTACACACATACATACGTCTGAGTGCTTTCATCCCAGCCTGTCAGACCCCGAGTCTTGCCACTCCCTGCCGGTCCAGTCCAAGTATACAACACCGATCATGGACAACTTGCCTAATGCTACACAAATCTCCTTCCAACTATGGCCTGATGCAGTCCAAGACAGACTCAAGTCAATACTCTATAGGGACACTCGATACACACGCATACTCTGTATATGCACTGTGTTAGTATAGCAGCAGTGCACATGAAGTCCAGTAGCAAACTATAGGCTAACAGAGAGACGCATTGTCAAGCTAGTATCCCCAGTTTCCTATGAACACTGCTGTAACTACTCTGCAACAAATGCTAGCTGCCTCGCGGCACTTTAGCGACCGGCAAACACCGTACTATAGTACAGGTGCATTGCAAGTACAGAATAATACATATAATAGTACTATACACACAGCCCCAGATGGCTAAGTAGGTAGAATAGAATGAGTCATTGACTCTAAGGCAAGCCCTGTTTGAAGACAGCACACAGTCGTAGTGATACAAGTCCGAGACACGTAAAACGTATACACATGCACATATTGCAGCTCTGTAGTCTGTATATACAGTAGCTGTCAGCCCTGCAATAAGGAGCTTTTCACTGGCTACACGTCTCGTGTGTCTGCTAAAACTGCTCCATTGTCTGGAGCAATGGTCTGCCATTGTTTATACATACATAGTTCCTACCCTTGACCCCTGCCATGTGTGCACACGCTCAGAATCATATTCAGTGCACACTAACATGCAGTGTATATACATGCTATAAATATTACGATGTTGCTCTTTGAAGAGGTTTGCTAGCAACTAACCCTTTTTTGCTCCTCCCCCTTCCTTATAGGGTTAAGCAAGTATGTGCTCTGATGTATTGTATGAGCATATTACACTGGCAAATTGCACTAGTTGTACTCCGCACTTCTAAAACATGGCTTTGTGTGCAGCATAGTGCTGTTAGACGTCAAAGAGTTTATGTTAGGAGAGCGAACAAGCCTTTTGTATGATGAGGGCAATGAGAACATACATACCTCCTCTCTTCTTGCTGCGTCTCTTCACGGTGTCTCCACCCGGGCAGTCCACGAAGCCATCGTCCCCTCCCTCCTCCCCCTCTCCCTCTCCCATCTCGTCCGCCATGGCCATGTCCCCCTCACTCACAGAGTGGCTCGGACGAGAGAGACGGCCAGAGTAGCGCCGTTTCCGGGAGATTGGCACCGGTCTGTGCAGCAACGTCATACAGTATACACTCTACAGTACAGTATCAGTACACACTGTACACTAACACAGTATTAGTATCATTTACAGGGTCAACTGTACACGTCACAACTTGTTCAAGTCTCATGTGATATGCAACATCTTGTGTGCAAAGGAACACTGTATGTGCAACATGTTGCGTGGACCAATGAGAACCTTGTTGAACCGTGTTGTGTGCAAAAGAACACTTAAATATGCGTTGCGTGGACCAATGAGAACCTCGTTGAACCGTGTTGTGCAAAAGAACACTTGCAACATGTTGCGTGGACCACTGCATACATTGAAGTTGCATGAGAAACTTGTTGGACCCTGTGTATGATCGTCCAGTTGGGTCACATAGAAAACGGAGCACAACATTGGCTTTTCAGCCTTCTTCAAGTGTGTAGGGTACACAGGGATTAATATAGGGAGTGGGTCACATTTCAAGTAGACGAAGTACGATTTTAACAGTTATAGCCAATTAAGATACTGTGTATAAGTCAGGTGTTGTGCATTGATCCCTGTGCTCCTGTTGTACGTGAGCTTTTGTTGTAGGCGGGGCCTTGTATGCATCACTAGTGACACATTCTTTTTAATGCCCCTTTCCCTCAATGTCTGTGGAGGAAGTGGGGTGTGTCAGACTATACCTGGTGTGCTGGTTCTTGATCTTGTTGGTCCTCGGGGCCGGGTGAGGTAGTCTCTGCCTCTCCTTTGACCCTCCCCTCATCATCATCTTCCCCTTCCTCTGGAGTATACCACGTGCCCCCACCCCGCCTCTTCCTCTTACTCCACACGCCCGGAGGATGATACCCCGGAGCATGGGAGTGCTGCTCCCCAATCTGGACCAGAACACTCCAGTTCTCATAGCCCTGCGTGTGAGGAGTGGAATGTGTAATTGACCACCTACCTATCCGTCTGAATAAATGCACGCTATATTATACTAGAGAAAAGCAACGCATTTTGGCGAGCGAAGCAAGCACTTAAAATTACGTGCGTGCTTTCGCGAGTATATAGAATGACATAGATATACAGTATGTGAGTCTGTTCACTATTACATAGGGAAATAAATAAAATATCCTGCATTCAGGTGCGTTAACTTCGCAGGAATTCATAACTTAACACATATACCATAAAAACTAGCAGGTTTTCTCTTTATGTTAAGTCTTAATATTAATGTTTGTGTTCCCGGTGCTATTGGCTGTGTTTTATTCTTTCAGACCCAATTTTCTCATATTTGATGAGCCGACAAACCACTTGGATGTGGAGTCAGTGGAAGCACTAGGAAAAGCCCCCAATAGATTCCTTGTGAGTAATTTCCTATAATTACGTCATACTTCAAATCTGCCATAATTATAATCATATAATACTATAATTAAACCTGCCCCTGCCAAGTATTGGGTGTGGTCTGATGGTTAAAGACTCACACTTATGATACCGAGGTCACCGGTTCGATCCCTGTCTGGGTCATCTTTTTCATAATGATGTAATGCAAGTGTTGATATAAGAGGAACGTTTTTTCATCAACTCTCGTGGCCAGCCCGAGTGGCTAAGTGGTTAGAGATGTGGGGACTGTCACATAAGGTGCCCGGTTCGAATCCCGGACCCTGCACTGAAACTGACAGGTGGTCCAGAGCATTGGCTGGGAACAGCTCTGGTTCCTCCCCTTACCCACGAATCTACCACTGACCCATGTTTCTCAAAGGGCAGCGTATAGTTCGGCATAGCACTGCGTCCGTAGACGTCTGTCTGGAGAGATTGAGGGCTGGCCCATTATATTTTATTTTTTTCAACTTTAAGAATTTATTGTTTTGCCTAAAACAATCCATGGGTAAGGCATATTATTCTTAATGCATAGCCGCTATTTTTTCGCCTAGAAAATGTGTAAAAAGCCTCTAATCTATCAATAAAAACATTTTTTTCTCACACTCACAATTTTTTTATCATTCAAATGATAGACGGAGGTGAGATACGTTGTCATTTGTAAGACAAGTCGAGATAGGTGTGGCGAGAATATGTTACTATTCCGAACTCCAACTGTTGTAAAAGTATTAGATAGTTAGTCTCTTCTTCAACTAATGTGCCTATAAAAAAAGTACATTACTATTCCATACTCCAACTATAGTCAAAGCATAAGGAATAGTTAGTCAGTCTCTTCTTCAACTAATGTGCTTCCAGAAAATGCAAAAGCGTTGACATCCTTACTGGGGGCTGGGGAGACTGGTAAAGGGACAGGAAAATAGAAGCGAGATACAGGGATTGGTGAAACGAGATAAGGGGATACGTACATATGTAAGTGTGTCGAGAGAGAGAGAGTATGTCACTATTCCATACTCTAATATTGTCACAGTATTCAGGATAGTATTCTTCCACTTACATAATGTGCCCACAAAAGGGACGCCCTTTTAGGTGAGTGGTAGAGGGAAAATGGTGAGATAGACATGGGTACACTCTTTCAACTGTGTGATAGTAACTTGTGCCCTCCTTCATTTCTCAAAGACAGTATTTTCCCTACCCCACACTAGTCTACCTGCAAGCTGGAGGGAGAGATGATTCCATGGTGGCCATTGACAGGTATGGCCGAAGCAGAGTAGGCGCGGGGAATGGCTGATCCACAATCTATGAAGTCCACCGGCTCGGGGAAAGTGTCTGTCGTGGTGGAGGACTCGTTGGGAGCTGCATCAACCTCCTCTGTCGTACTCTCCCCACTCCCCACTCCCTCCCTCTCCACACCATCACTCCTCACCACTCCCCTCCTCACACCCACTCTTGACCGATCCCTAGCAGTAGGCCTGTAACGATTACATGTCGGCATCATAAATGTACATTGGGGATTCATGAATAGAGCAGGAATAAAACCATTGAGCCATCTACAGACTCCCATCCATCACTGCGCTATTGCTCGCATAAGCCTTTAGCGGCAATCAGCATGCCCACATCCACAAACTTCTGAAAGTGTTCCTTGTTTTACTAACACCCAACAAAACCACTGTGCAATTAAGTGCTCCAAGTCTCCCAAGTTAAGCCTCCTCTATCTCCCTGAACAGAACACTAAACAGATGCTAGGATTATATAGTGATGCAGCAGTAATCTCACTAAAAAGTCTCATTTTAGGTGGATTAAGCAACAGTTTAAGTTAGTCAAAATCAGCGTATATGCACTTTTTAACACACTCAGCAGAGAGGAGGTTTGGCTGCACCGTGTATTTTTGCATTGTCACAGAAATAATAACGGGAAATAACGGACATGGTAATCGGGAAAAAATGTGGAAAGTCAGAAGTATACAAATGCCCTCATGCCTACCCAGTGGCAGCAGTGGTAGAGGTACTGGTGGTGGGTGGAGTCGCATGATTGGTCACATGACGTGTCACATGACCCAGAGGTGATCGGAGGTGTGGTCTGGGGTGGGACTCGGAGTAAGCACGTCGCGTGGGAGGACTGGAGGATACTGTGACTGTAGCCATATCCCATGTTACACAGCAGCAACTGTCTATACAGCTTCTGTTGTTAGTGCCTGTGAGAATAATGCATGTGCAGAGATATGTAGTTTGATTGCTGCGCGTACATATGTATGTATGGTGTACGTACACTAGGATGGATGCAACATAGGCAAGCAAACGTTAGTGTGTAATTTCAGCAGCTATAGGCAATAATACAACGAGAGGTTTACACAAAAATCGCTCAATTCGAATAGCTACATACGTAGGTGGGTGGGCTTGCTTCACTCTCCACATGCATGGTACACAGAGGTACACAGAGTGTGGAGAGGTGTATGTTGTGTAACATTGTGCAACAGGTAAATTGGTGTAATCCTTCAAATTTCAAGATTAGATTGTTACGTAGCAATCGTACATGCATAGCAAGGACGACAATCTTACAGACATTTCACACATTTTCATGCTCACATCCACACACCTATACTGACCTCCAGATACACATGCAATGGTTAACACATACATACGTAGGTATGAAGATTAAAACTCCATTTCTGTACAATTGGACTTTGTGCACAAACGCATTCTTTGCCCCAAATATAGAAGGATACAAAATTATTCCCATGTCAAGATATTCAAAGATATTCAAAATTTCAGATAACCATAGAGTGACGCCCACTTCTAGATCATAATCACATTAACCTAATCCTTTGTTCTGCTTAGAGAGACATTATCACTTGTTAGGGCGGCATTTCTGAGGTCTGGTGTTAAGTGGCTCGGATTAAAGCCACTACAAATAATAATACATGTGCTTTCCTCTCTCTTTATTCAATCTTACTATGATACTATGTGTCTTGTACACTTTTATGCTGAAAACAAGGGTGCTAATAATATGACATGCCTGGACAATACACACACCATATTGTCTGAGATATTTCACATGCATGTTAGCTGTAATTTTTAAAAAAACTGCTGCTTCGAACAACGAAAGGTTGGACGTGGGTAATACACATCCACAGGAAACTATGAACTATAAACAATGGTGCTACCACAAGGGTTTCACTAAAGGAAGTGCGATGCTTTTCTGTATATACTTCGAAACTGTTCATAGGCTTGCTTTTGTATTGTAACAGTCTGGGTATATACTCAAATCAGTCAGGGGTCGAAAAGTAAGGTACATACTGTAGGAGCTTGCTTTTCAGGACATCATAAAGAGTACTCAAATGAACGTGCAAACCCTCGGCACCCTAGAAACATTGTCATTCAGTGCTACTAATATGCAGACAGTCTTCTTCTTGCGTGTAGAGCTGTATGTTATACACACACAGTGTTAGCTGAGCAAAACACAATACGCCAACACTGTAAAGCAACCGGTAACTTGAAACTGCAATACACACCTCTCCCTCTAGCCGGTTGTCCAGCACTGGTATACAACTTTTGTAGGTTAGGTGTTTTGGTAGAGTATATACATAAAGCAGTGGTACACTCCTTTTTGACCTTGGTTCTCAATATCAGTGCACCCACTTTCCACGCCTTTCCTATTTTTCCAGTTAGTTTTAAGTTTTTACATATTCATGGGCATAGACTTGTGTCTCGAACACTATCGTTCTGTTCAGTTGTCAAAAGTCGTCCAACTTCTTCTGGGTCCTTGGTTCTTCGTGCTACTAAGTGTGTAGTAGATTAAAAAGCATCGTGGGTGGAAGACAAAGTGTTGCCCAGTCTGTGGTGGACGACATGTGTCACACTGAATAGCCTAGACATGCATCCAACTCAGCACTCTCGAATCAAAGTAACAGGGAATATAAAAACAGCAGCAAACTGTGGAACTATACACACGCTGCTTTTGCCTGCAAGTAAAGTAGTCAACACACGTGGACAGGAGCAGATGAAGTAAACAAAGGTAAAGCAGGGTGCCCTGATTACTGCATCGCATGCCTAATGTTGGGACAACTAAACAAACACGACAGCTTGTTTTTAATACAAAACACCTGCCATTAACAAACACTATACACCGTGCACGTGACGTAAAGGAAGATAAACTGAGAGATGGAAAGAGGAGGGGTATTGAGAAGGCATGCACTGCGAGGGGAGGGAGACACGGGATGGATATCATCTCGTAGTAATAAACGACGGCATTGTTACCAACTTGGGGAAGAGAGCCTAATGAACTAGTGCAAACAACAATTAGAAACCCTGGACATGCTGGTATGTATGTACAACTAGTTAGCAGGACACTTATGATGATCAGAGATCACCAACCGACGTATACACAACACAGTAGTAGGTTTGTAAGTGTCTTAGAGACATGAATACGCAACGTTAAGATCAGTAGTTTCGTGCAATGGTGTGTGTAAGTAATTTGCGCCACTGAGTAATTTGTACATGTCTATTGACGATGTGGATATAATATAGAGGCTAAGAGAAAGGTTTATGGACCAGCAAAGGATTGCAACAGAGAGCACACTTTGCAGAGAGCGACAATGATCTCTTCATCCAAAAGGACAGAGCATTGTTCTCACTACAAACACAGATACATTGGCAGCACGTGATAATAGCCTACATATATACAATAACTGTCAGTAGACATAGCTTACACTCCTACGTGTGTATGATGGTAGTCACATAATTATTATAAAACTACTGTCATACTGAGGCAGATGATTAGTTGTTCCACAAGCTCAGATCTGGGAATGTATAGCCAGGAGGACGTGATACAAATTACGTGACTGTATACTTAACACAGGCACTGGATGCCAACTTGTAGTCACACCAGCCAAACGCGACCAAAAGCGTACCGCGCTACGTATGTATCGTGGCACGGTTATAGTGTGTAAGTAGAGAGTCTACTAGAGACAGAGGGAAACTTACAGTCTCTTTAGCTCTTCTTCATACGGGGCGGAGGCCCGAGCGGTCCGTGTCGATCTCTGCTTCGCTTGCAAATCCCACAGGTCATGCAATCACTGTGGAATTCCGTTCCTGCAGTGCACAGGCATCGCACTTTATTACAAACCCGGACGACAGACCCCACAACGGTGATATTTCAACATTTCTGGCTAGTTGCGACACGCCCACCTTTCGTATAATTGGAAAATATGCAGCCGCCCGCGCCGCAAAGTTGGCGGGAAAAACAAAAAATAACCGATGCTTCTCTATGTTCGTGTTCGTCTGAGGCAACTATAGACAGCTATGGAATACTCTCTCTTTCCTCTTTCTCCAGCAGGTAACCAGTAGCTATTCATCAAGCCATAGACATTCTATATAGTATAGCTATTACTGAATGCTGAATGCCCTTATGCTGGACACAGATGGCCAGAGGCTAGGAGATGACAGCATGGAGGGTGTTGCAGCAGACCTGTTGCTAGCAGATGGAAATGACGGGGGCTTACTCTTCAACGACTCGTTAGACGAGGACAGCCACGCAGCCACCACCAAGACAACCAGCACAGCTGCTGCAAGTCCCGTACACCAACAGCATGACCTGAATGATGACTCACTGAGCTTTGACACCACTCAGCTACCATTTGACAATGATACGGCTGAACCACTGACACATTCCAACAGCAAGGCAGGTAGCGATGTGCCTGTAGAAACAAAGTGTCCGACAGCTGGGTTTGAACTCGCCAAAAACATTTCGATATCCCGTCCGACGGAATTAGAAAGGAAGGGAAAACAATACTCTGTAGATATAGAGAGCGCAGTAGTGCCAGAGCCATATACTGAAGATGATAGTAACATCAAATTGTCCACCAGTAGCAGTGCCACACTACCCACTGCATCCAAAGCCGGCACTAGTACAAAGGCAAAGTCCCCCAAGGTGGTACCTAGCTTTAGAAGAAGAAAGGCAAAGACCCAAGCCTCCTCCCCTCATGAGACTATCACAGACGGAAACAAGTCACCCAACAGTGACAGTACCTCAGACAGTAGGGTCCCAGTAGGCAATCAGGTGGCAGATTACAGGGACATACCCAACGACACGCAGGGTAATGAAGGAGGTGAAACGGTGATAGAGGGAGACGATCAGTGTGTCCCACAAACCAGGACTGGAAACACTGGAAAATCCCAAAAGCCAAAATTTGGCAAAACATCAGCATCAAAGAAGAAGACTCCACCACAGCAAACTACCACAAGTGGACAAGGAAAGAAGACTGTGGCATCAAAGAAAACGGGTGTGTCTAAAATTCATAGTGTTGGTTCTGTGGATGACCAAAACATGACAAATGAGGGCAAAAGTGTACCACACAACACCACAACTACCAACAAAGAGGACCAAGATGAACTATCTGCTGACAAAACCTCCAGCAAGAGAAAAGGAAAGAAACTGGCCGAACGGGAAGAAAAGAAACGAGAGCGAGAGGAAAAGAAGAGGGAGGCTGAGCAGAAGAAACGCGAGACAGAAGCCAAGAAAGCAGAGAAAGAGAGACTTAAGAAAGAACGTCAGTTGGAGCTGGAAAGGAAAAAGGCAGAGAAGGAACAGAAAAAGATCGAACAGGCCCTGAAAAAAGCGGAGCGAATGACTAGCAAGAAAGAAGGGAAACAAACTGGAGGCAAGGGGAGCAGGAAGAGCAAACAGAGTGATGACGGCAGTTGTAGCAATGCAGCAGAAGGTCACACTGGATCATCACTGGTGGTGGAACAGTCGTCTGATGACCGAGAGACAGATACGAACGAAATGGAGGAGGTACCAGACAGGACGGACGGCAACCCAGACCAAATGGAGACCAAACCAGACCAAATGAGAAACGAATCAGACGAATTGCAAATCGAATTAGAGCAAATGGAAGGCGAACCAGACCAAGAAGTTGATCAAAAGAACAATGACAGGGACAGACAAGAACCAGTACAAAATCCGAATCAAGAAGCGGGGAATGAAAAAGTAAGATTGAATGACAAGTCTGTGGCAGGGGTGACAGCACCAGAGGAAGGTGCTTCATTAGCTACTGACCCCAGCAATGCCAACACCACAACCAACCACCCACTACCAGCCTCCATTACTAGTGATGGTTATGGCCACAGTACTCCTGGTGCACAGAGCCAGGAACCTTCAGAATCAGCTGCAATACTCCCAGATGATGTGGCGGATGAGGGAGCATGCAACGTACCTACCAGTGGAGATACAGACAGAGGGGATGACGGTTCAATGGACCAAGCAAGTGAAGGGTCAGTGAGCTCACAGAGCCCTGAAAGCACAAGCACACTGCAACCCAGCACAGTTCTGAAGGAGAGAAACACAGCAAAGGGAAACATTTCCGGACCCAGGGAGAGAGAGGACAAGGAGAACTGTAGCTTACCAACGAAAGAAGCGAGTGGCACCTGCTCAGCGAGAGATGGAAAGGTGAAGATAGTGTTCGGAAAAGTGAAAAAGACCACCCAGAAGAAGGACGAAGCAAAAGCAACGACGCAACGCACCAACAGCTTGAAACCAACGCAAGCAGAAAAGAAAAGAAATTCTGCACCAAAGAAAACGACTTCAAGACAACTCAAACCAAACACTGCATCCACTACCAGCAAAGAGAGTCTCCCCACAAGAAAGAGGTCACGTACGTCTAGCCCAAAGCCAAAGAAGCGGGCTCGTGCTCAAAAAGAAAACAGCAGACCAGGGTCCAGCGGTGGTGATGGGGAGGGACAGGGGGAGGAGTCCTCTAATAGCTGTGTGGGTCCTGTGTGGGTGCAGTGTGAGAAGGCATCGTGTCAGAAGTGGAGGAAGTTGAGAGATTGCTCTGACCCACTCTCTCTCCCTGACTCCTGGACCTGCTCCATGAACACAGGTAGGCATTCTACACATACAATGACCTTACAAATACAAGACAATCTCTTTATAGGGGACACTTGGTTCTGCCCCACACCAAATAAAGGACACCTCTGAATAACATGCTTTCAACGTCCCTAAGCTTCACTATATATACTACAACACGTACACTACAACCAACTGTGGCTGATTTCTCATTTGTGCACATGGAGTATGGCACTTGCTGCTGTGTGTGTATAAGTCTGTCTCTATATACTGGACCTTAGTTAACCCTGGTTGCAGTTACTTTGTTTGATTCACGACCCTCGCCATGGCTTCAAGCTCCTTTTTGTGTGTTGTTAACTGTCACTCACCTACACCAACACGAACCACACTGCATGTCATACTGGCAGATGTGGAGAGAGGTTCCTGCTCGGCAGACGAGGAAAACTGGTCCAACGACATGGGAGACAGTCAGGAGTTTGTCGAGACACCCTACATCCCTGGGTCCCTGGTATGGGCCAAGATGGACAGCTACCCTTGGTAATTATTTGACTCTGTAAGCTTTTCCTTTTTTGTGCAACGGTTGTATAATATCGTGGGGGATTATTGATTCCTGCCATTTTACATTGGGTAGAGTTGCATGTGTCAACAACAAGGTCAAAGCAAAGCAGAGGCAAATATTAAGTTAGGGCTTACATAGTGTGATAGAACTTACGTAGTTACATATTGTGATCAAAAAGAGGGTATGGGCGACTGTGGGTCCCATAACCCTTTGTGTCTGAACGTTTCCTCATGCTGCTGTTTGTTCATGTTCACAGGTGGCCAGCAATGGTCGAAGAAGACCCTGATGATGAGACTTACTATGAGCTGGGGAAGCGAAGTACCTCCAATGTACCTGTAAGGGGAACTATAATCAGTATGTATGTTAACGAGGTAGAAAGGCAAGGCAAGGCAAGGCAAGGCAAACAAGTCAACTGCACCCAGGACAGCTCTTTCTTTTCAAAGAAAAGAAGAAGAGCTGCCCTGGGTGGGATTCGAACCCACGGCACTCTGCAGTCTGGTTCATGCATGCTAAAATAATGTTTCTCTGCAGGTGAGGTACCACGTGGTGTTCTTTGACACCCCAGTATCTCGTGGCTGGGTGTCCAGTTTCCATGTCCGTCCCTACAGCACTGACACTGACCACAATATTACCACCGGAGTGAGTCTCATGCACACTTGTCAACAGGGCTACATTAGAGTTCCTTTGGTTATTTATATAGTTTGTGCTCGATGGGGACATTGTAAAAACATGTTTTGTGTGAATTCTGACATCTGCTGTGTATGAACAGGGTTCGGTGCCTCAGAAGCTGAGACGGAGTCTGAAAGAAGCGAAAAGACAGGCCTGCCAAGCCTCAACCATGCCCATTACTGTAAGACACACTTAGTTCTCATCCAGTTCAATTGACTCTCTGGTGAGACAATTTTCAAAGTATTGTGTCTGACTTACACACAGACACGACTGGTTGAGTGCAGTTTCTCCAAGCGTTTCCGTCGTATGAGCAGCAAAAAACGCAAGAAAACAAGTTCCGATGAAGTAGAGGATGGTAAGACACTGCCGAGTTTATTTGCATGAATCAGAGTGTATAAACACAAAGCAAGTACATGAACATCAGTCTGACACACTTTCATCTGAGGCAACTTTATGAAACCATCCGACTTCCTCAATGATCATCAGCTGTCCTGGGTGTATATAGTTGATTTGTTTGCCTTTGCTTTGCTACCTTTTTGACAAATGCATACACTTAGCTTGGAGTTGGGCATCTTTGGTGGTTTAATTACCCCGGTCTGCTCCTACATTCATACTGAGTGATAGTAACTGTGCCATAGCACAGTGGTTTGAGGTTTGCCTTTGTGTTATGTTGTGTTGTAGATCAAACCCCTACCAGCTGAGTTGCCCTGGTAGCTCAGTTGGTAGAGCGCTCGCCTAGACTGCAGAGTGTCGTGGGTTCGAATCCCACCCAGGGAGCTCTTCCAAGGTTGTCCTGGGTGTAGTTTATTTTTTGCCTTTGCTTTCTTTGACCTTGTTGTTGACATACAGGGTTGGAAAAATGCTCTGCTGGGTGTCTGAATACATCAGGTTCCAGAGGCTCTGGACGTAAATCAGCACGAATTGGAAGAAGAGTTGTAGAGGGGAGTAGGGAGGAGGGTGAGGGTGTGGAAGGGGAGGAGGGAGGGTCTGGAGGTGCACCCGAGGTCAACCTGGGTGAGTGTGTGACGGGGTGTGAGGGTGTGGGGAGGGAGGAAGGAGATGATGTGCAATGATATAACTCAAGTCTTGACATTGCAGCTATGCTATATATTATTATGTATGGGCACTGCTTTATGAGATGTGTATTAAACAGCAGTATTATGAAACATGAGTTGGTAAATTAAATAGCTACCAGGGGAAAACCAATTAACCACTGGGCACAGACGAAAGGGGAAAGACACAGGGGGTGCAGCGAAGGCACACATAACAAAGGGATAAGGACTGCTGTGTGGCTGGGTGTCCCTCCAGTGCCACCTGCTGCCACACCCACTCTGGCCAGACCTCTCTGTCAGCTCCCACTGTCAGTGACATCGAGGTAAGGATCTTCTCCGTCCAGCACACAGCCAACGAAGACACTCCGTTGGAGCTGATAGAAATCTAATGTTAAATGAACTAAATGCTAGTAAAATACATTACAGCTGGTTGATAAAGGACAACCGTGATTCAGTAGCTATGATTATTCATGATTGTTCCCACGTATTAATGAAACACTGGGCTAATATTAATTTCAAGCCTAGCCAAGTCTATAGGAGCCTCTAAAAAGCTTCACTACTATAACCGAGTGTGGTGACCTGCAAGGGACGATGCCTGCGCTCTACACTCTGTGGAACACGAAGCTGGAGAAGCGGTGGAACGTGGGGAGCGACGATTTCGTTCTACCCACTATTGTCGCCATTGCAGTTCGTCTCGTAGGGTGAGTTCTCAGACTGTTTCTAGCAGTCAGACTAGTCGTTGAAATGCGGAGAAGCCGGGTCCATGTTTGTCAGAGCGCCCGTGGTTTCAAGGGCGTGGCTCGTTTAGCTGAAGTTGGTCTCGCGCGGTGGGAGTTGAACTGCGCTAGCAAGTAAGCAAATTTTGTGGCTTGTTGAGTAAGACAGAGAGTGACTCACATCAATCATTTTATATGAACAAACACACTCTGAGTTGCCCTGCTGGTAACTCAGTTGGTAGAGCACTCACCTAGACAGCAGAATGTGGTGGGTTTGAATTCCACTTAGGGCAGCTCTTTGGAAAAAAGAGCTGTCCTGGGTGTAGTTGAGTCCCTTCGCCTTTCTACCTCGTAGTTGACACATAAAATCCCATTTATCTCAATCAGATTTGTCCTTGTGGTTGGTGTGCTAGTCTACCTGTACGTCGCCCCTCTGGGCTGCAATGATCTGGCCCTGGAAACCCCTCCCTGGCTCTACGGGACACTGTTTGCCACACTCCTCCTCGAGTTTGCCGTGGTCATTAACGATGCCATCATCATGTCTAAGAGCTGCAGAGGGCGCATCGACCACTCACAGGAACCCAGTCCAGAGGAACAGGTGCAGTTTGACATGTACGACGGACCCACCCCGAGAAAACACCGCTGGCCGGACCCTGATAGCACCAGCCCCAGGAGACCGCTCAAGTTTTACCTGTTTTTCCGGTTTCTTCTCTTTCTTCTGGAGATTGTCCTCTCCGGGCTCTACGGCTATGCCTGCTGGAGCCCCATGATCACCGACCAGATCCTCGAGTGCGAAAAGTTCCAAGGACCGGTATACTTTGCCCGCGGTGTGGCCGTTACCTGGTGGATAGTTATCATAATCTCCTGCATCATGTGGTCCATATTCCTCGACCCAATTGGGATATGTGGCCCCGGGCTTCTGGATCAACTCGACTTCTTAGATGAAGAAGAGGAGATCATTGACCCTAGTGTACACCGCACCTTCAAATTTCACCGTGCCCGGATCAGCTCGACGAAAATACAGCGCAGGTTCAAGACCCTGTTTTGTTGCTGTCTGGGATTAGCGAGGCACAGGGAAAGAGGCGTGGCACTCGAAGACGCCGCACAAGTGATGCAGAGCATATTTAACGACGTCGATCTGGTAGGGTCTGACCTGGTCGCAGGGCTCATTCTCCTCAACAGGGACCAGAAGAGAAAGATACGCAACAACGAGTGCCTTGTCTCTGACTGCAAGAAGGTGAGCGTGGGAGTGAATTCATTCACATTGTTGTGGTTGATGAGCACCACGATCAACTTGCTGTTTGTGGAATCAGTGGAGCTAGGGAGTAAGTGGAGTATCATTATAGTATGAGCCCATACCAGCATGTAGTAGGGTCACAACATGCTGTAGTAGACACAACGGTGGATGTTTTTAACTCCCTCGAGTGTTGGGACGTTGTTTGTCCTACCGACACAGCACATCTTCAGGCAGATGTCTACGAGATCAGAGGAAGACCTGATCCCCGAGGGCTATGACTCTAGCGGCAACAGATCACTGCACCAAGTCTCTCACCCTGCCTTTGACAAAGAGTTGGTGAGTTTTCCAAGTCTAAAACTGATTTTGAAGGCGGCAAATCTGTGTATATACCCCTTAAAAAACTGAGGCACCTAACGACTGCAGCTACAGTATTTATGGGAACTAATATAAAACCAGCATTGTTGAATCATTAATCAACAGAGATACTGAAACTGATAACCAAGATACTTGTGTGTGTAGTGTTTATGGGGACTATTAAAATGTTTAATCAACAGAAAGATTACATTGTGCTGGACGACTTGATGCACTTCTGCCACTATGCATTGGGAGTGTATGGCTGGCCGCTCTACCTGTATGAGAACCTCGACTGTGGCACTGGGTGCTGTGGACTTACTGCCTGCTGCAGGCTTACAGCCAAGACATGGTGATTTTCGTAATGTAAATGCATATTATTATAGGTGAGAGCATGCAGCATCAAACAAAGTCGTAGCTTTTCTTAGGTTCATGAAAGTGATACACAAAGTTTGAGGAGAAGGTGTTCCTTACACATCTTGCAAATGCGCATGATTGCAATCAGTAGCTGAGGAATTTCAATTTTTTGAAAAGTACCCGCACCGTACACCATATCTACTGCTTATGTGTTTTTTGTAGTGGCGGTTGTTACTGCAGACGTCTGTCTAAGCGGAGGGCAAATGGAGACGTCATGGCCGACAACCTGTGTTTCTGCGGGTTTGCCAGTGTCCAGCTCATGTCACCAGACCAAAGTCTCAGGAAAGATGACATCAAACACCTTACCTTTGAAAACGAGGCACGAGCAAATATTCATCGGTTTTTGTCTTGTTATGTGTGTGGATTTTTTTAATGCAGTACTTCGAGTGTCCCTACTTGCTGTGTGTGGATCACGCCATGAAAGCTGTTGTGGTGTGTGTGAGGGGGACTTTGTCATTCAAGGCAAGTCAGAGTGGTGAACTTGACACACCTTCGACTCAGACGTTTAGCAAGCCACTTTGCTTTTTATAGTGCTCCCACCTTAACAACATATATACACAAAACACGCAACACCACGAGGTACCCTTAGAATTTTAGCTATTATGGAAGGATCGAAATTTCTCCGTCTAGTACACTGTTGTGTATTAGTGAGGCAATGATTCTGACTCTGTAAAAAGCTGTGATGATATGCAGCATACCTATTGGATGAAGTTGTTAACATCTAGATCTGTGTGCATTAGCTATTGCATGAAGTATAGTTATAATAAACATCAACGATGACTCTAAATTTCAGGATGTGCTGACAGATATCACTGTGTCTGTGAAGAAACTGACAAAGGAAGATGTCGGAGACAAGTTTAATGTTCCGGGAGCCTACGTGCATCGGGTAAAAACTCTTTCTTACGGCCATAAGTTGCCATGTCTATATTATATAGACTTACATATTGCACACCTGCAGGGAATGTACAGGACAGCTAAGGGCATAAGAGATCAACTGTTGAGCCCAGACAAACCAATACTGACAAACACTCTCGGTGACTACGAGAAAGATGTAAGGACCCTCCGAATAATGGACGCTTCTCAATGACAACTTGTTTCTGCCCCATACTAATAGTGTATTATATAACGCCACATAGAACACCTCTGAACAATGGACACTTTATATGTCTCTTGGATGTCCCCCCTTACTCATAGGTTTCTCTGTACAAACGTAGCCTGGCTCTTTTAAGGAAACCATTAATGTTGCAGCACTACAGACTGGTGATAGTGGGTCACTCCCTGGGGGCTGGGGTGGCCAGCATCCTAGGGTGTCCCTTACTCAGATTTCTCTGTACAAGCTTTTAAAATGTGTAAGGAAAACAATTTGTTGCAGCACTACAGACTGGTGATAGTGGGTCACTCCCTGGGGGCTGGGGTGGCCAGCATCCTAGGGTGTCCCTTACTCAGGATTCTCTGTACAAAAGTAGCCTGGCTCTTTTAAAATGTGTAAGGAAAACCATTTGTTGCAGCACTACAGACTGGTGATAGTGGGTCACTCCCTGGGGGCTGGGGTGGCCAGCATCCTAGCCATCCTCCTCAAAGACTACTTCCCTGATCTCATCTGCTACGCTTACTCTCCTCCAGGCTGCGTGTTCAGGTATGCCCCTCCAACAACTTCACTCTCTCTATTAAGACATGAATGTGTACAATTCGTTCCACGTGCAGTTTTCCACTGGTACAGTACAGCAAAGATTTTATAACTTCAGTTGTGATTGGAAACGACATGGTTGCCAGGTAACTGTTGAGAGCAAGTGCATTCTTGGATGAATAGTTACAGTGAGCCTGCCTATAACATACCTACCAACCATCCCGCTTGATAATCAAGCAAAAATACTGCCTATCCCTCCAAAAAAATTTGCGCCAAATCCCTCTTTTTTGTGATGCATCATGCCTATACATTTTGAATGGACATGCAGCATTTTCAAGCAAAAATACTCCAAATCAAGCAAATTTGACACATTTCTCAAGCAAAGGTTTATCTGCAGGTTGGTAGGTATGCTATAACAGTAGAGCCTCTGATAGAAGATACTCAGACTAAAAGGTTCAATTAAAGGAACACTTAGAGTCTTACATTTAACCCCTAAAGAGAGGAAAACCTCTCTACAAAGGACAAAATCCATATTAGGAGGTTCCAAGTTTTTTAGCATGCTTTTGGGGCTCTGTATGCTCTGTCCATAATCAGACTAATGCCCCATTTTTGGCAGACTTTCCATCAGGGCATTGCACTACATGAAGAGAGAGATAGAGGCACTGCTGAAGAAGTGTAAAAAGCCAAAGGTAAACAAATGACTTCCAGGAGACACTGGTTTATTGTGTATGCACTTTCCATCAGTTTTTTAAATTTAGTGTGTATAACCCAAAGTGAATTATGAGCAATCTACGTGATAGTGATAGGCTGCTTCCCTATGTAACTAACTGCTGTCTTATTGCGGTCCTTGTTGCATCATGCACTTGTGTTTTTCTTTCTTGTCCAGCATCAGGTGATATTCCAGCCTCGCTACTGCGACAGATTATGCGGCATGTGTACCAGAGAAGTGGAAGATCCCTCAGTGTCCATGGTTGACATTGAGCACAAGCTCTCCAGGGAGGACAGTGAAGAAGAAGAGATGAGAGAACCCATGTCACTGCCTCCCAGACCAGCCCTCAACAGAGCTGACTCCATGTAAGCAGATGTTACTATAATCAGTTGCCGACGGCGATAGAGTGTTTGAGCAGCCGTCTTTCTTAGTCTGTAGCGTAAGGGTGGATGCTGAGCTAATGTGGGATTTCGTAGCTAGCAAAAAGTAAGTATGCTCCCTTCACTGGTGTTATTTTAAGCACTACTCAAACATGGCCCTCCAACACCAACAGTATAAAAAAGCTTCTTACAGTATTATTGAAATGTGGCCATGAAAGACCTTTAATCAACCTCCCCAGTTCTCAAAGCTGCGCATCTAGTTAGTTGCGTGTGTATGTGTATACTGTATGTATCAAGTGAGCCTGGAAGGGGTGGTGGTCTGCATTCTCCTTGCAGTATCAGCTGGGCATGCTGTGGCAAGAAGCATTTGAAAGCACCCAAGAAACCAGCTGTGAAGAAAGTCACCAGACGTCAGAGAGTTCCCACATTTGCCCCGGGATCAATACTCCACTTGACTGTCAAACAAAAGCAGAAACCAAGGTCAGATAAAAAAATTCTGTGCTGGTAAGTCAGTCCTATATACAGGATTTTGCGATTGCGAATAAGCAGTTAGCCCACCTATAGTTGGCAAGCAAAGCGAACCTACCAAGTCGTTTCAATGGGCCGATTTTTCCTTTTTTTTCCTATCCGGCGATTAGACCTTGACAAAATTTGCTTTTTTCTCTGCCTATTTTGCTTTTCTTTTTTGCTCAATATTTTACCTATTTTGCTTCATAAGTGTACCTATTTTGCTTTTTATTGTACGCAATTTTCTTGTAGAAATTTCCATTAAAAATGTCTTCTGAGTACATACTAAAACACTAAACAACTGAGTCATTATGAAAAATGGAACGACTGTTGTACTGTAACATGACTGACGGTTAATTCCTCCTCAGAAAGCCAAAAAATGGACGTGCCCTGACCGTATATTTCTAATAAAACGTGTATTCTACCATGCGAAACATTGAAATGCCTGTCACTAAATGGCGCAGAGGCGCCGATGCGTGGGTGGTTGGCAGGAACAGAGCAAAGCTGCCTATTTTGCTTCATAGGTAAAATTGACAGCCCATTTTGCTAGCAGAATTGCTTATTTACTTTGCTACCTATTTTGCTCAAAATTATGCTAGCAAATTTCGTCAAGGCCTACCGGCGATGCCACACATACCGCAATGTTCTATGTGACATCAGCGACAGCCACCAAGCATTAAATACTGAACTCCTTGCGCTCGCTCGCCAACAATGCGTTGCATTCCTCTAGTATAGTAGAACCTCCACTTTAAGACACTTGAGGTCCCAAACATACAGGACGACATTCTTGCTCCCATGTCCATTATACAGAGGTTCCTGTATAATATATAGACTGAATGGAGTGATTTTTACCATACTTGCATCATGTATAGCTGCCTGAGGCCATGTTACGTCCTCAAAGTAACACAATGACCTCTTGGAGCATACAGCTTTTATATATAAGCTACACATCTGTCACTGTAAATAAAGTTTTTATCCTTGTTATTATAGCAGAGCAAGTAGCTATAGTAATATTTTTCATTAGCTGCCTGGGGCCATGTTACGTCCTCAAAGTAACACCAGAGTGGATACATAGCGAGGACCTGGGAGTCATCATCGCTGACCGAGGAATGATAGAAGACCACATGCCAACCCGCGTGATGGAGGTCCTCCGAACCTACCACAGAGAAGTGTCCGTTCAGACCGGTCTGGTTTTTACCAAGGACGTAGTGAGCGCCGAGCGGAGGAAGACGACAAACGACGAAATCAGGAATTTGATCCAGAAACGAAGCTACTTTGACCTGCCAGTGAGGGGTAGGCTTGACTCCGATGGAAAATCATGGAGGAGAGCGATGCAAGCAGGAGAAGACGAGCCCGATGGTGCAGTGGAGGGAATCGATGAAGAAAACGATGAAAGAGTGAGGGTGATGATGGACGAACCTGTAGAATCCTCCGCGGAAGATGAACTTCTCCCCAGTTCACCCGATACAGCTAACAGGCTATACAAGGGCACTGCCATAGACATTGAAGAAAACCAGCTAACCCACGCTGAGCAGCAGAATGAACTTATTGCTTCTAATGACAGGGACGACCCCGAGGAGATAGAGTTGACCGTGGAGAGATATGGTGGGGAAGGCTACACAGAGCTTGCCCCAACAGAAACATTATTATGAGCTATATACAACTGTACATGTATCATATTCAGTGGTTGTGATGTCCTCACAAAAACTACCTACCAACTGCCTTCATGCTTATAAAGCTGCATTCTATTTGTTTCTTCAGCTGTATGCATATCCCTGCTGTTTTACTAAATATAAAGGCTTCATATTGTATCCTCTGTTGTTTCTAGCAATTATATATACTCTTGGCAGGCTTTTTCTGACACACTCAGAGGAAGAATAATGGGTGAAGTTATAAAGAGAAGCATGTCACATCACTATTATAATAATGGCTAATGAGTTGCACTCCTTATTAATTTTCTGGCTATAATACCTATTTTGTGTTTTTGTGCTGACTCACGAGTTTTCCTTCAAGCTCCCTTTGCTTCCCAGAAGAAAGTACAGAGTGCTGTGTATTGATAGTGTGAAGGCCATCGTGCTTATACTGGCTGTACAATTTAGAGCTTAAAAACAACCTGTTGACACAGTGCTACCACAGATATTCCCTTCCTTCCTTCCTTGGAACGAAGTCTTAGTACAACTATGCTTCCGTAATTAACCCTCGGCGCGCCATGCGCAGCGAGGGTTACAGTACTTGGGTCTGTGTGTCTGTGTGTCTGTTACTCTCAATCTCACTTCTCGGGTGTTGTTCGTCTCACAAAGGATACGACCTACGTAACGGGCAATGAAGGTCAGAAATTTTGAACGGTTTTTCTCTGAACTGCTCCGTTGCAAAGCTACAGCGCGAAAAAGCCAATATGCAAATACACAACGGAACGCCACAGTCGGATCGATCGCGTGTGCTCTGCGTACTTCGGAGGCACCAGAAGATGCAACGCAGGGCGTGTATCGCTCTCGCATGCTATCTAGTAGTGTAGTTAGCCGCGTCAGACTCTGCGCGAGCTGGCAAGAGACCACGAGTAACAGCTAAAACTAAACCCAGTTCCATCAATTAGTGGTACTGCGCATGCGTTTACTTACGCGTGCGCGTTCACAGTGCGCCGAGGGTTTGCACTTTCAGTGCTTTCATTTATGAGTTGGGAGGCCACTGATCAGAGCATTGATAACACAACATTGCTTCCTGCCCGTCAGAAATGGCAGCTAAGATGTGCCTTGTGCTGGTCACTGTAGGTCTGGTCACTGTAGGTCTGGTGTCAGGTCATGTCTACCACATGCCTTCCGTGAGAATCAAAGGGACAGATGACTCCACTTGTCCTTCTGGAACTCAACTGGATGCTGTTAGGACACAACTCTCCAAGAAGATCTCTGACTTAGTCCAGGACTTTAGCTGTGGAGGTCGTGGATGGAAGAGAGTGGCGTTCCTCAACATGAGTGTATCCGATCAGAGCACATGTCCCGACCAGTGGAGGCTGTATGTACAAGGCTCCCTCAGAACTGTGTGGTAGGCCGGTTGGAGGAGCAAGCTGCGATTCTGTCGTATTTAGTGTAGACAACTATGCCTACACCCGGGTGTGTGGCAGGGTGGCGGGCTACCAGTATGCCAGTCCAGATGCAGGTATACACTATGTGTACAATCCAACACCCGGAAATGCCATAAACAAACCGTATCTCGATGGAGTTAGCATTACCCACGGATCTCCTCGTCAGCACATAATATGGTCGTTCTACGGCAGTGAAAACACACAGAAATGCTGCGCTCTTCGACACATTAACAACATGGAGTCTCTCGGCTTTATCGGAAACAACTCTTTCTGTGACATTGGAAACCCGGATAATCGGCCCGTCCGGAATTCTCTCTTCACCTACCACCCTCTGTGGGAAGGAGATACTCAGTGTGCTGGTAGCACCACCTGCTGCACTTCCCATGCTGGCCCCTGGTTTCACGTGGCTCTCGATGTTCCCTCAATTCAAGACGTAGAGGTGAGGATCTGTGGGGACCAGCACACTAATGACAAGGATACCCCTGTTGAATTAGTTGAAATATATGTCCAATGATGAACTGCTACGTATTTCTGAGTAAAATGCATTATATTATTGCAGACCACTGCATAGGGCCACGCGTGTGGGTGCCTGAGTGTAATATATAAAGGCACATGCAAATTACACCTGTATTTTGATGGAGGTTCAGTCACAGGAGGAATTTGTAAGGCGTGGGCGTTGCCAGGCACACAATACTTTATCTAGGCATGTATATATATAGCTATAGGCTGTTTGTTCACCCTGGGAAGAAGGTAGCCACAGGCATTCCCTACACCAGACAGTCTCATGTTACCACAAAACCTTTTGTTCCATGTTTTCATAGGCTATCATAAGTTATGTCCAAAGTCACAATCATGGAGGCAAAACCGTGTTTCTTGCTGGCTTGTGTTCTGGTCTCCTTTGGCTTTGCTGCGTGTCATGAGGTGCACAGCATTCCTTCTGCCATTATGAACTCTCAAGATGGCTCCACCTGCCCTTCCCGAGAGAGGTTGGGAGCTGTAAGAAACCTTCTGTCAAACAAGGTGCTAGCTATACTTGCTGACACTGAATTTGCTTGTAAGGGCACTGGATGGAAGAGAGTCGCCTTTTTGAACATGTCGGACCCCGACCAGACCTGCCCAGATGCATGGAGAATGTACGAAGATGGCTCAGTCAGGGCTTGCGGGAGGCTACAGAGCCCCTCAGGAACCTGCAATTCAGTCCGATTCAGCACGGGGGGTTTTGTGTACAGCGAGGTGTGTGGCAGGATAAGGGGGTACCAGTTTGCCAGTCCAGACACCAGTGGAGGGCCACACAACCCAAATGCACCAGAGGAAGACATAAACGGCCCGTACCTGGACGGAGTAAGCATCACTCACGGGAATCCTCGTCAGCACATCTGGTCACTATTTGGCAGTGTGGACATTGGAAGATGCTGCGGCGAAGGTCACACCAACACTGTCGATATACGCTACTTTATTGGAAACAATTCTTTTTGCGACAGTGGGAATCCGGACCACCAGCACTGGGTCGATACCTTTTTCACCGACCACCCTCTGTGGGATGGAGTTGCAAACTGTGCAAATAGTCCCTCGTGCTGCACTCTCCACCCAGGTCCCTGGTTTCACGCCACCCTCCCCTACATTTCAATGCAGGACATTGAGGTGAGGGTGTGTGGTGACCAGTCCACCGTTGACGAGGACACTCCAGTTGAGCTCATTGAAATCTATGTCAAATAAGCACACTTTACTTTAATTTCATGCGACATTATGGTTGAGAAAGTGTAGAGGACGGACCCAGCGCGCAACGACTTCCGGAAGCCGCACAAGTGACCCCCACGCACATGTCACGCGCCATAGGCCACATCCCCTAAACTGGAGGGGCTGCTAACTCAAACCCTTGTAAATCCACAGGCTATTTTTTGTATAACATCCAATGGTAAGCCGTGCGGCATCAGAATAGACACTTTTTTTACATCCTCTCCCAGACTCCTCTCGTTACCGTACAGCCAGAGGAATATGCCGCCAAAATCACCACTATTAGGTAGCTGCTCTCTGTGTTAGAATTATAATGTTGTATGTCAATGTCGCAACCGTGTGACTGTTCGTGTATGTGTGTGTGTTGGAAGTATTTGTGTTTGCTATTTATTGCAGAGAATCATTCATTAGTAATTTTGTACTAATACACACTTACATGCTAACATGCTAATGCTGCTAACCTGCAAAAAAGCATTGTTTGCCACATCGGTGCAGTACATCACATGACACTACTATCGGCCGAAGTTGGAATGATGATCTTGAGTTTGGTTCCCCTGCGAGGCAGGACAGTCACCACCCTCTCTCCCGCCAGTCCGTGGTGACCGCGAGACAGACGACGAAGGACTCCATCGCTGAGTCTCCTCCAGTTGCTGAGTCTTGCACTACGACATCTTCCCTGGTGGTGGCCGTTGGTTTCATCGATAGCAGGGAGACTGGCAGTGTAGGGGGTGTCGGTGGGTTGTCTGGACCAGTGACTGGCAGTGTCTGGTGTACTGTAGACAGTGGAGGAGCTGCTCTGAGGGGAGCTGGTGGATGTAGTAGTGGTGTTGGGATCTCTACCAGCAGTGGTAGTGGGAAACACCCAGCCCTCTATGATTAGAGACAGCGGTCAGAGATTGCATTAATACACTTCAGATCCAGACAGGCTCACTAAAACCTGTCTGAACATGAAGGTCTCTTTCTCCCCTTCCCTATATACCAGAGTTTGCATTCGATCGGACTAAACTTTTGCTTAACCTAAGTCAAGGTATACCTCTTTTCAAAAGATACGGTGTAGCTGGGCTCAATATAAAAGTTAGATGCTGAATTTGGGACCCACTAACTCTTTGTTCCATTGGGTTACGCCTAGCACTGACACTTCTAAATGGAGCCCCACCTCTTGCACTGCTGAGTGCTCTAGCCTTCCTCTTCTGGTTCATCTCTCTCCAGGCCTCTTCTCGCAGTCTCTCCACCTCTGCCTCCCTGTAGCTCTGGCCCAGAGCCTGTCTCTTGAACCTCTGCAGAGCGGCCAGGACGTGGTTGGGGAGGTGGTCCTCCATGGCTCCTCTGTCTATGATTATCATACACAGGTCCTCGTTTCTCACCCTCTCCATCTCCAGCTGGTTCGGGTAGAAATACCCAAAGCAACTGCAGGGATAAAGTAAAATATAAATTTGGCAGTCAGTGTGTGTGGCACTACAATATCCAATTGCTATACTTTGGGAGCGAGGCGAGCAGTTCAATTTTGCAGTCAAGGCGAGTGATACATACATACATACGTACGTACATCCATAGGTACACACACATGTACATGCATACACTCATTATTACATACGTACGTTTGTACATGTACATCTGGGTAATGGCTGACCAGGGAGAGGCAGTCTTGTTGACTTTGAGATGGAAGATCTTTCCCGGAGGAAATGTGGGCATAAACTGACCACACATGTTCTTGACGTGCCCCGTGATCTCTCGTTCAAACACATCTGGGTTGTCCGGGAGGTCCATGGACACCCGACGGCTTCTGCTGTAAGGGTGTGATTATGAATAAGATTTTTGCTGGCACCAGGGTGCTTGCGTATAGTAGGAAACCTTTAGTAATAATTTCACAGAGGAAACTTGCCCCTATAATGATGTGCTTGTATTTCAACAACAAAGTCACGAGGCAATAACAGACAATCAACACAACTACACCCAGGCCAGAACACATTTCTCTAGCTGTGCTGAGTGGTAATCGAACCCAGGAGAGTCTCCAGTCCAGGCAGTCTACCTTACCTGACACTGGGAGCTGGGGTGCTGCTGGGAGCTGGGGTGCTGCTGGGGAGGAGGATGTGTGTTGGTGGGAACACTGCATTCTGAAGGCTCTCTCCAGTGGTGTTCTCTCCAACTATCAGACTCTCAAACCCCTCAGGAAGATGACAGGTGGTAGACAAGCTCCTCCATGGAGTGGCACAACTACCACCTCCACCTATACCACTGCACCACTTAGGTAGGAACAGCACGTTGAACTGCAGAAAAAAGCAAGTATTAATACGCAGAACCTCCGATAAGAGACTCTCTGAGATAGGGATGACCTCTCTATACAAACGAACCTTGTTTCAAACCCCATGCTGATACTTTAGTGTACTATTTGACCTCCTAGACTAGGGACCACCACTCTACAAGGGACAAAATCATTGGCCTCATAGCGTCCCTTTGTTTTGAGCTTCCACTTTACTGTATTGATCGCAGTAGAGTTATATACACTACTATAGATGGAATTGTTACCTTTGGCTTATCACAGTGCTGCAGAAGGTGTTTTAGTGACTGCTTCAGATAAAGCAGAGAGCGAAATGACATCCTGCAGGCAATAATACACATTATAATACACACCAATAATTGAACATGAACTAACCTTGGTACTAAGTCGTTCCCAAGGACCACTGAAGTTGTGAATTTTCTTGAGTACACTGCAAGAGGATAGCTGTAGAGCAAGAGAAAAACGTTCATCAAAATAATAATATGTTGTCCTTGTTAAGTTCTTGAGCCTATAGTACTTACGTGAGCTTGAAATGATAAGATAACATTGCACTGATTACCCACCCCAATCTCACAGATAAAACTACTTCGAATAGCAGAGCTACTGACATTATCACATATGTCAAGACACGAGACCTTACGTCACTATTACATCACTGTTTTCAGGTTTTTATTAGGGCAAAGGTCAGGGGTAAGATAACATATCATTCGCTTCCCCTCAAAAGTTTCTCTGAGACTATCAATGCAGGGGGTGTGGACTGTGGGTCACCTGAAGACGCAGCCAGGTGGGGAGAAGGCATAGCAGTGAAGATCGGGAAAGTCTTTCCGGAGCAGTAGAGCCAGGACACTGGTCACCCCAGCCCCCAGTGAGTGCCCCGTCACTATCAACTGGTAGTCCTGCAATGATAATGCAGCAGAGTCAACCTTGCCTTTCTACCTTGATACCAAGTTGTTGAGACATGCATATACTCGGTTTGGAGTTGGGCGTCTTTGGTGGTTTAATTACCCCGGTCTGCTCCTACATACTGAGTGAGAGTTTACTGCGCCATAGCACAGTGGTTTGAGGTTTGCCTTTGTGTTGTGTTGTGTTGTAGATTCGAACCCCTACCAGCTGAGTTGCCCTGGTAGCTCAGTTGGTAGAGTGCTCGCCTAGACTGCAGAGTGTCGTGGGTTCAAATCCCACCAGGGCAGCTCTTCTTGAAAAGAAAGAGCTGTACATGTCCTGGGTGTAGTTGACTTGTTTGCCTTGCCTTGCTCGATACCAAGTTGTTAAGACATACTTAGATGCATCAAGCAAGCGCACACCAACACACGAAGGTGTCTTGAAAAGTCAGTAGTTTTAATGCTTGCTCTTACAAGAGTCTAGAGTGGTCTTATCCTCCTTATCTGCCCGTATTTTGCATTCAAATTTCGGGGTAAGTTTGACTTGGAGGTACTTCAGAACCTCCGTGATACGTACCTTGTAATGCTGGAAGATGTGTGGCAGGATTCTCTTCTCGCAGTCCAAGAGTCTGTCCACCTCCTCCTCAGTCGCGCTCCCCTGGGTCCTGATGGCCTCCAGTCTGATCTCCGTCTACTCCTGCCATCAGTCTCTTCGGATCTCATCAGCTGCAGTGTACATTCCCTGCAGCGTATTGGCACATCGAGGAATAATATATACCAACTGCAGAATACCTTCTTCGAAATGAAGGGGATAACAAAATGGTGTGCAAAGGTTCAGCCAAATGCGACATTTCTTCAAAAGGGATATAGAACTGGGTGTAAAGTACCGGAGGAAATGGTACATGAGGAAGAAAGTGCACCAAAGTGCGAAAACCATTGAAGTGGATATAGAAAACAAAGTACCAAAGAGGAAATCGAGGAAAAAAGTAAATACACAAAGTGCAAAAATCATTATATGAAGCGGGATATAGCTAGAAATGTCGCAAAGTAACAAAAGAAAATGCCACTCTACATGATGCAACTGATTCAAGAGGAGCTGCTGACATATGAACAAAAAGTCCCGTTGACTCCATCAATGTCTACTGGCTGCATCGAGTAGGACATGTTTGTCAGTACATCCTAGCAGAACAGAGTATATACGACATAGCATCATCTCAGTGCTGCTGCACAGTTTCGATTTTATTTGGGCACAGACTAAAGAAGATTGATTCTGCTGTGATGTATAGCTCAGAATTCTCCTCTTGTAAAAGTAGTACTGTGGTTAATGAAGTCCGGGAGTTTCGTTGTGTTGTAAATACCATGGCCAGGTTAGCAGTTCAACTACACTATAGGACAGCAAGTTCCCCATAGGTTAATACTTACATTGATGTGAGAGGGTTCACGGACACTCACAACCACAGACCTCAGCTCCTGTCCAGAACCACTGCAAATGGGACCTTGAGATCTATAATATTATGGCTTAATAGCTGTATATGGTGCACAGCGTATACATAGATAGCAATGAATTAATAACTAGATAATTAATGGCACGCCATTTTTGGCGGCGCAGAATATTGCACGCGATGTTGTAAAATGACACGTGACTTGGCGTGCGCCGGTAGTCAAGGTGACCGCACAGAAGGGAGGCGGCCGAGAGTCAGTAGTACGGTTCCCGTGGTTAGCAGCAGGCATGATGAGCGACGCAGCGAGCGTGCTAGCGGTCGGGGTACACTCCCAACCGCTCGGAATTGCTCGGCGTGTAGGGCAGTTCCCGTGCCAGCGCCACCTCGCTAGCTGTAGCAGTGCCGTCACATAAATAATATATAGAAATGCTGCATGTGTAACAGTCTAGGTAGGCTGTGCTTCATCGCCAATTATAATTATAAATAGGCTTGAACTTCTAAGCATTACCGACCATAGAGGAGAGTTACATCAGGCTATCAGGCTAGCATCTAGAACCAATGAGAGTTTTAACACATGTAGGTGGTAATGGGTCAGAGTCTGGGTGGAGAAGTTGCTACATGCTTCATGTAAGATGAGGAAACTTAATCCCGGATTATTTGCGCTCCTCGCTAGCACGATAAAGACAGACTGTGAGATACATTAACCTCATTGTCAGTGGAGAGGAATTCGAAGGTCGTAGTCTCTCACTCCAGTTGAATGGTTATGGCCGCACGACTCCACACCACAGCACACCTCTCCCTCATTCCTCCACCATACCCAGTACACCTACCAACCACAACTGAGGGGATATTGCAACACACAGAGGGAATGATATTGTCGGTGGTCCCAGGGTGCAAAATGGCATAATCCTCGGACTACTAAGTTCTCTCGACAGACTATAACAGCTCTTGGTAAGTACAGCTCGAACTCTGCACAAGACACGTATTCATATGATCAGCAGAAGTGTTTCCAAATTGACAACCCTTCCCAAAGGAAGGACAAACTCTTTGCACGGGACAAAACGTTGATCGCCTGAAGTGTCCTTTGTTCAGAGTTGTATGGCTATGTAACCCAGTCATTGCTGCATCATCCAACTGAAGGTAAACACAAATACCATGTTCTGGAGGCTAGTTGGCAGAGGCCACAGGTCAAGTTAGAGAAGATGTGAAGAGGCCAGCCATACATCCCCATAGAGTGCTGCATGAAGTGGATCATGTTGTCCATCAGCAGATGATTCTCCTGGACCAACGAGAGAGTGATGATGCAGTGTAGACACGCCAAGAGTGAAAAGACAAAATAGTGAAGAGACTTCCACTAAATAGTGAAGGCATTGCAAATGTATATCAACACGCCAAAGGTCACAGGTTGCAGTCAGTGAGTCAGTGAGAAGGTTATCAGCCATTTATTGTGGAACCGACACTAAACTGTAAAGTATTTAGAATATTATGTATAAACACAGTGGTTTGTGTTAGTAAAAAGTGACTGGTTTGTCTGTCACATCTCTACATAGTGGTGATGGAAGTTTGTTTTTATTTCACTCACGGGTTTATCATGGTCGAAAGGACGAGCAGGCTTGTAGACGTAGTGAGGTTTCTGGTTGACTGGCATTCGATCAAACGTCACCTGCAAATGTGCAAAAAAAACCAACGGTGAAGGTATGGACACTCGGAGGGTGAAACATATTCCTTAGTAATGTAAGTGAAAAGCTCATGCATTCCCAGACTGTTTTGTGTCATACACATACCTTCCTGAACTTGTCTTCAAGTCTCTCTCCCTCTGCCAGTCTGTTGGTCTTGCCCCGCTGATACTGACTGACCAACTTGAACCCAGCTATCACGTCACTCAACACCAGCCTCACCCTCTCCCCTCCCTCCTCCCCCTCGTCAAAGTCAAACAGGGTGTACAGTGCCCGAGCAACATCACCCAAAGGCAGACCCCTCGATCCTTGACCTCCGACTCTGAGACAGCACAAGAAGACGCGTAGTCGATGCTGGATTCTCCGGAGTCCAATGTAGTTTGTGCGGAAACGTGATGCCTGTTGGCTGATTTCGTCGAGGGTATACCCGCCGCGGACAGTCTGGGTGATGCTCACCTGGCGCTGCCAGAAACGAACCACATTTGGGGTTCTTCTCTGTTTGCGACTGAGTCTCGCTTCAGGTGAAGTGGGGGATTGGACTGGAGACAGCTGTAGTTGACTCTCTCTTCTAGCAGACGATGGCCTTTTGAACCGGAGAAACTGTGGAAAGTAGGAAGGGGACTGGGGTGGCTGTGGCAGTTCTCCGACATCGTCGGCCGTATCGAGGAAGCTGAGGTGTTGGAGAAGGCCTGGCGTGAACAACCCACAGGGATCCAGGAAGAGAAGAAGTCTGACTGTCGAACCGAGAAACTTTAGCAGAACAACCACACACGACACCGTGGCGAGTGCTACAGCGACACGATACGAGCTGCAGTCGAGCGGCTCAATCAGATTCGGGTCAAAGGTAGCCACAGAGCACGAGATGACGGAGAGAACTCCAGGACCATTAGAACCAGACGCACGTAGATATACTTTGGGATTTGTGAGTCTCTCTTTGCTGTTTCCCATATGCGACCTCGGTAGCTTATGGACATGATTAGTGCCTCATCAATGACTATACCTATTTCTACTGCCACCAGCAGAAAGAGTGACCAGTAGAGAAGAGGGGGGAGACCCCTGGTCGTTAGGGCATCCAGGAGAGAGGTAGAGAGCCGCCAGAGCTGCCATCACTAATATGGAGCTATGTAGGTAAAGAATCAGTTAGAGCTCATGGGAACCCATAGCTAGCTAATGCTAGGCTGATCTGAGCACATCTACGAGCAGTTGATTAACCAGGCTCGATTCACTGATTTGACTGAAGACTACTGCCACAACTCCTAGTCTCGTGGAGCCAGCCCCTTCAAGTTATTTATAGAGTGGGGATGGCTCCATGAGACGATCGGCATCACGTTTCAGCCACACCTATTATTGGCGAGCGGGAGCGAGCCAACCTAGTCGTTCGTTCAAGCGGTTTTCTATATATGCTCCACGGCACTGCACATACCGAAAGGTTTTACGTGATTCTAAATACGTGAAACGGCAACCGATGGCATCATTTGACTTGTCTATTATTATGAAATTTCGCAATCGTCTGTATAATAGTATATATACATCCGCGCGGCCGCCGCGTGGTCGGCCTGCCCGATCGATCGCTGTCTAGCCTACTGCCATGCCAGCTGCCTGGTGGACCACGACACACGAGCTGAAAGCGTACGGTAAGAACCATTTTGGTCACTTGAGTCACCGTTCTGGCAATATATTATATCGAGGGGTACGACACGGGTGGAAATCTCGTACGCTTATGGTGATATCCATAGAAATCAGTTGGAAATCAAGGGAAATCAGCGAAAAGTGGAAATCAGAAATCAAAGTTGCCGTGCGCGCGCCGCTTTTCTGCTCTAGCTAGCTATAATCAGCTCCATTGACTCGATCGATCGACTGTATAAAACTACAAGGCCGACCCTGCAGCGGCGCGCGCACACTCGTTCCGGCCGGCCACCCTCGAGAGACCGAGAAATCAATAGAAATCTAGGAAATCAGTTGGAAATCAGTATAAATCACGCGGAAATCTGGAAATCAGAAATCTCGTATAATATTTTACGCCATAACGGTCCGTGTCGGACCCCTCGATATATAACGGCGACAAGTAGCTTTGTCTTGGTTCACGAATGCGCTGACGGCACGTTGTGCAGCTCGTACATCGCGGGCAAATCCCATGTTGGGTCGCTCCCGCTCGCCAACCAACAATGTTCAACATTCTTCTAGTACAGTCTTTCTGACTCACCTGAGGAGTGAGAGGGCGACTATTACGATGGCCGAAAGGACAAAATCATCGCTGCCGACGTTCCACTGCGTCTCAAGCGACGTTCCTCGGCATGTCACTAGCGCTGGCATGGCGGCGTCGACTGCACCCTACCTTCCGCGCTAAGGGAGTGGCTCGTTCAGCAACGTAAGTGTGCGGAAGCGCTTAGAAGGTTTGCAAAAAGTCATTTGCCAAATACAACCGCAGTGTACACGCATAGGTTATACGATGGCGGCGCGTGGTTACACGAGTGGCCAGTTTTGATAGGGCACGAGGGCGTAGCCCGAGTGGTCTATCAAAACTGAAGCCACGAGTGTGCAATTAGTAGACCACAAGCGAATGCCATCGTATAACGTATTTGTATGATGACATCCGGCGGTAAGGCTCTGACCAATGAGATTGCGCAAAAGCTAAAACGCCCTCTTTTTAACGCACACCGTCGAGTGTACGTACGGCGGGGGGGACGGGGAGAGAGCTAGCTAGCAATCGATCGGGAGAGAGACAGCTGCAATAAGCGCTTTAGTTTAGTCAAGCTGGGCGGTTGTGCAAAAGCCATGGTCATTTCTCGAGAGATCAACGTTACAGGTATATACGTACTTTTCGCTGCTAGACTCCACACGAGTTTTGTAGCTGCCGCTCTGGCTCGCTTTCTCTCCCGCTATACCCAGCATTCTCGAATGCAGCCTGTTGCAGTAGCAAGAAAGCTGAAAGTCACATACTGTTCCAGTCTACGGGAGCCTACGCGTCGGGAAGCAGTTTTTAGCTAGTTTTCAGACCGCGTATATACTAGAGCAGTTTCTGGCCATTCTAGCCTGAAAAATACTCCCTTCTGGTAAAGAAACAGCAGCACACAAAGAGTGTAAAAGCCCCTAATTGCATTCCACGCTGCCAATTTCCTACTATCGTCTAACTCCCGTAGACCCACTGTGGTTTATGCAAATAAGTTGACATAGTATGGGGAAATTGTATGGCCTCTTTATGTTCTAACTATATACCCGTAGACTGAGCAGGAAGCGCTCACTACGCATCTACGTTGTTTGGACTAGCTGGAATTCCTTTGATCTTACTCTCAGTCATCATACAAATTATTGAGGACGGTTGCCAGCTATGGCGCGCCGTTTGTGTCAAAACGAATTTTTTTCAGTAAGCATCCGTATCTGTCGAACAAGAGGCGGCGATTCTTTTTTCGAGGAGACGATTCTTTTTTCGAGGCGACGATTCTTTTTTCGTCGGCATTGCCCGCGCGCTGAGCTAGGTGCACACATGACCGTCACGAGACCCACTCGTGACACACCACCTGGCTTTTGCCTCGGAGCTATCAGATACATTAGTTGCCCACGGGCTAGTGGCAACCGGCGAAGACACGGGCACGTAAGCGATGTTGTCGATGACATGTAGTAATTAACGGGCATATATAAATTCATCGACAACATCGCTTACGTGCCCGTGTCTTCGCCGGTTGCCACTAGCCCGTGTCTTCGCCGGTTGCCACTAGCCCGTGGGCAACTAATGTATCTGATAGCTCCGAGGCAAGCTCCAGAGTCAAGGCTGTCTACTTGCCATGTTGTTCAGTGTGTACCATCAATTAGCAGTATCGCGCATGCGCAGTTCGCCGAGGGTTTGCGGTGATCATCTCCCATACGTGTGTGTATACATCTCAGGCATCACAAACAGACAGCAATGCACTTGGGTCAGAGCTAGCTAGTGTTGTTCCGTCAAACTGAAGGAATAACATGAATGTAGGTTTGAACACAATATCAATGACAGGTTATGTAGTTTGCTCGATAATTGTATATTATTGAAGTCATCGTGTCACCATCTCGAGTGCTATCTCCTCTGGCTGACCGAAGAAGGTTGTATGAGTAGCTTTTGGCTTCCCAAGAGCCTGGGCTTTCGCACCTTGAGGTCTGTGACCAGAAGAATCACCATTGGGTCTCTCTTCCTCCAGTGTTACAGCAACATCAACCGTTCCTGAACTGCCGTCATCCCCACCTTCAAACGATTCCCCGGCAGTGTACTTTCTCCTCCTAAGAGCAGTCGCCCTCTGTCGGTACTTTTCATGTGCATCGATTCTGATTCTCTCTGTTTCTTTTGGATCGTAGCGGTGGCCTATGTACTGCACCTTGATTCTCTTGAGTCCAGCCATTACTGAAGTGGGCAGATGGTCCTCCACCATTCCCTTGTCCACAGATATGGTGCTCAAATCCTCGAAACTTTTCCAAGTAAGCTTCATCTCGTTTGGATAGCACAGACCCAGAAACCTACAAGAAATGAATGATGGGGCCATAACACTCTCTGTTACTTTAATAAGTACAGTGAAACCTCTTATAGAGTATACTTCAAACAAGAAACTAGCTGTAAAGGAAATTTGCAAGTGTTTGCTTGGCAATAATATGTCGTACATTCATTCCAGCTCAGAGTGGTTTGGCACTCTCAGTGAGCTCAGTCAGTACCCACTAAAATGTTTGAACTCGCATTCGATAATTACTGTATGCGTTCTCATAAAGTCTATACACAACTGCTCACAGTGGTTTGGCCTTCCTGGTGAGCTCCATATGGAGTATTCTGCCGGGTGGGAACGAGGCTATGTGATCTCCTCCATTGATGTTGGTGACGTACAGATGCAGTGTCTTCTTCCTCTGCATATTCTGCTTTACTCTGGACACAGCAGTGAGAGAATAGGAGAGAGAGAGAGAGAGAGAGAGAGAGAGACCACACGGTCATATGTAATCCATTTGTAAAAAGAAGAAGATGAAGAAGAAGATGGTATTGAAGAAGAAAATGATGATGATGATGATTATGAAAAAAAGAGAAGAAGATGATGATAATGATGAAGAAAAGAAGAAGGCCAGAAAGATTGTACCAAGTGCGTCTCAAAACATGTGTTGCTGGCGCATTGCTTTTACCTCATTGATGTTGCATGTGGGATATGTAACGGTCTAGCCCTAGAGATAACACAAATCATACTTTTTGGCAAATTTCTTGGCGAAGACAATCTCTCTAATGCCGAGTGGATTTTGGTCAGGGATGAGGTGGTCCTTCACATCATCCAGTGACACTGTTGGATCTTCAGTCACTTTGGAGAAGATTCTCTCTGCTTTTGGGCCTTGGAACAGAACCTGGGACTGAACCAATGGAGGCTGGTTAATGGTGAGATTACAGTTCATTGAGTAACCACCGTCTTAATATTTGGGCAATACAGTTTTCTTTAGGGAGAGATTACAGTTTATTGAGTAACCACAGTAAGATTATATACAGTACCACAGTCTTAATATTTCAGTAAGGTGATATGTAACTCTGCATTGTGCATTACCGATGATGTCATTAATGTGGTAGTAGATTTCACCTTGGGTTTATGGCAGTTTGTAAGGAGATGTTCCACCTGCCTCTTCATATACAGGAGAGCCCTGAAGCTGACCCTGCAACATTCCAATCATACTTAAAAACAACATACACCCACAAATGGAGTTAATTAACACTCTTACATATACCTCTGTAACTACAAACTGACCTTGAAATCATGTCGTTACCCAGGACAGTACTTGTGATGAAGCTCTCAGAATGTTGCGCAACTGGCAAGCTACAGATTGTGAAACATAACACAAGTGACCAAAGGTGATAATCCGTAGGCCATCCACTCTTATTTAATGCCTCCCAAGCACACTGTTGTTTTAAAATGCATCACTTCGCACTTTAAGACGGAAATTCTGAACCATGAGGCAGCTAATTATTATGTTTGTGTATTTCAATATACCATGCCTCTTATACAGTATATATTATGTTGCAGTGCCCAGAGTATGAACCCTGCTTGCACATGTAGGATTGTATATATAATATATGTTGCAGTGCCCAGACAGGGCAGCATGTCCTGTCTGGGTACTGCAACAGATTTGTTGGATATCCCTAGGCTGATACAAGTTTTGATACAATCCCCAGCACCTACGTAGCTTCATACTTATCGGTTGCCTAGGGATATCCAGTTACACAATGCAGTGTATACATAGCTCTACAAATTAATGGCAGCTTCTGCAGTAAAGTAACCAGAACAACTCAGAATGAGGATGTTTTTGGACCAAAACATTTCCTGACTCAAATTTCATAAAAGTGAGTCCTGCACAAAGTTGCACTTGTCCAACTCGCAAACTTCACAGAAACAGCTCATACCATATCACTGGTGTATACATTTTGGCAAAAAGTGGGCACCCGTTTCCATCTATCTGGCTCTGTAGAGTATGTATACCTGAAGATGCAGCCGGGAGGGGAGTAGGCAAAGCAACGAAGGTGTGGGTAGGCAGGTTTCAGAAGCACTGAGAGAATGCTGGCCGCTCCTGCCCCTAGTGAATGCCCGGTCACCACCAGCTTGTAGTCCTGGAGTCACAACAGGATAGGGATGTGTGTGTGTGTGTGTGTGAGGGTGGGTGTGGGGGAAAGAAGACGACATTCTGTTACATTATCGGAACCAGAGATATCTGATAATGATTTCATAATAGTCCAAACAGATTATGTGACACAGTCATTACGACTCACCCAGTATTTCTGCATGGTGGTCCTCAAGATTTGCTTTCCCTCCCCGCCACTCTCTGATTTCTTGCCCCCTTTGTCAGGACACGTTTCCCCCTCCTTCCTGTCCTCGGCCAAGTTCTCGCGACTCTCACTGATCGTCTGGACTTCTCTCTCTCCCTTTTGTCTGGTGTGTACCTGACTCTTGATCCACTGGGCTGTCCTGTACATTCCCTGTCAACAGCACATGCACAAACAGAGTTCTCTAACACTCGATGTGCATGAAATCACTTGTTGGATATCCCTAGGCAATCGACACGTATATAGTGGGGAACTCTATCAGCCTACACGATCCTGCTCGCATGCAATCTCATTGATTTCCTTCCATAGACTCACTTGTTCCCCAAGTTCAAATTCATGATTATAAATCGTATCTGTGTCCGTCACTGTGTCCATTAAAGATTTTCAATAGCATTTGAGTGATAATCAATTGACATAGCTGCCTGGGTTCATCCTGTCGCTTGCCTAGGGATATCCTGTTGCAGTATATACCCAGACAGGACAGCATTCGCCCTTGCAGAGCTGATGCTATCCTGGGCCTGGGCACTGCAACATATAAAACCATACTTACATTGTGGATGTAGAGCTCGTCAGACTCGATTCCTGGTATCCTGACCTTGACCATACTTACACTGACATCTGTGAGGACATCCTGTGTGCAGCAAATAATATGTACATACACTCAGTCATCACAACCTTTAGCAAAAACGGGCTGGGTTTTTAATCGGTCCCCAACATATTATATACACAGTGTACTGTACACACACACGTGCGTGGAAGAAAAGAGCTGTCATGGGTGTAGTTGATTTGTTTGTTGTGCCTTTGCCTTTCTACCTCGTAGTTTTCACATGCATATTATACTTGGCTTGGAGTTGGACGTCATTGGTGGTTTAATTATACCCAGGTCTGCTCCTGCATGCTAAGTGAGAGTATCTGCCATAGCACAGTGGTTTGAGGTTTGCCTTGTGTTGTAGATTCGAACCCTTACCAGCTGAGTTGCCCTAGTAGCTCAGTTGGTAGAGCGCTCGCCTAGACTGCAGAGTGTCGTGGGTTCGAATCCCACCTAGGACAGCTCTTCTTTTTTCCTTGGAAAAAAAGAGCTGTCCTGGGTGTGGTTGATTTGTTTGTTGTGCCATTCTACCTCTTAGTTTTCACATGCACGCACACACACACGCACACATGCACACACACACACCAAGTTTCATGTCCATAATTATGTGCCGTCGTTAGCAACTTTAATGAGTGAATAAGTGTTAATGCGCACGAGCAAAATATCGTTTATAGCTGTTCAAAAGTTGCTAGGGGAGCAAATGCCATACCTTTATTGATAGAGTGCCTCGAACAGACAGAACAACGGTCTTACGCTCATGGTCCACTGCTATGGAGAATGGAATCTGGTATATCTGCAAGTGGTAAATTATAAATTTATAATAATTATGTTAAAAGCGAGGCAGCGAAGTAGTACAAGTACACACCGGCGTAGAGCTTTGCTCGTGAATCTAATTAGTAGTTTTTCTCTATTATTCCATGGAGAATGTGTATGCCAGTATATAAGAGCTAGGGAACTGGTAAAAGTTCTAGTGCACAATTTTATTATCAGGGGTTCATGCATGTAGGTGGGAGAGGCAAGAAACCATGGGTTCTTCAGCCAGAATTTTTTAAAAACCCTCAAGAGTGTTTCTACTTTAATGTGAGAGTGGCCTTGTTTGATCTTTTGTAAACTGGAGAGTTTCATTATGGCCTATATAGGTTGGTGTGTGTGTGTGCGTGTGCGTGTGCGTGTGCGTGTGCGTGTGCGTGTGCATGTGCGTGTGCGTGTGCGTGTGCGTGTGCGTGCGCGCGCGCGCGCGTGCGTGCGTGCGTGTGTGTGTGTGTGTGTGTGCGTGCGTGTGTCGTACATCATTCTGGTATGAGGCATAGACAATGTCTTCCTCTGATCGTTTGGTCTGTATTCTCATGGTGGCCAGTCCACAGAGACACATGTCATCATTCACTATGTCCACTCCTGCTCTGGGGTGGGTGCAGCGGTAACTACACCGACAACTGAGGGAGGGAGGGAGGGAGGGAGATAGTCCAAGACCAAGGGGAGGGAGGGAATAATAATTATGTAGAAAGGGGATAGGGAGAGATGAAAATGGGAGTGCAAAAGCTAAAACGAGGTAGCAAGGCAAAGGCAAAGCAAACAAGTCAACTCCACCCGCCAGGACAACTCCTTTTTCCAAGGAAAGAAGAAGAGCTGCCCTAGGTGGAATTTGAACCCACGACACTCTGCTTCCTAGGCAAACGTGTGAAGAAATCTGCATGCAAAGGTTAGTTAGAGAACTGGCGAGCACATACATACTGTAGCCAGAGCCAGGGTTCAAGACTAATAAAATCGGTCACGTGCTGTTGGTGGACGCTATAATGGATTTCTATACCATAGGGAGAGTTCAAAAGTACCTACACGGTACGTATGTACCAGCATGGGCTGTGTACAGCTCTGAGTGTGTCTGTGTGTATAATACTTATGTACAGACCTTGTGCGTGTGTGTGTGTGTGTGCGTGCGCGCGCTTATGTGTGTGTTAAAAGGGTGAAGGGGATTTTGCCTTCTTTCGTGTTATGCAACAATATTATTATGGACTATCATGAGTATTTCAGACATGTATAATACAGAAACCACACTTCCTCTCAAAGACAGGAAGTGTGTACATTACCATGTGTTGGCGGCGAGATGGAAGAGGCCAGTGAGAGGGTTCTGGAAGACATGGAGAGACCAGCCATACATCCCCATACTGTAACCCATGTAGTGGTGGACATCTTCAAACAGAGCCCTCTCCAACTGGACACAGAGAACAAACACAAGTATATTATAACTGTTTTGCTGAACTCCACAGGACCATGGGAACAAACAGTATAGTAATTATAGTAATTAACAATCATCGACAGCTAGTTGTGTTAGTGTATCACTGAGAATTCGAAGTGGTTCATATCGCATAATCCTATTTGTTTACTGCTTTTATTGGTGCTTGTTTACGTACCTACGTGGCTTGTGGGTGAATAGCAGTAAAAACATTCACACACTACTTTGTGTGTGGTCAAGCCCTGCGTCAATAGGGACACATGTTATGGAGAACCGCTCCTGAAAAAGTGATGTTTACTACCAGGTTTACTACCAGGTTTACTACCAGGTACTACCAGGTTTACTACCAGGTTTACTACCAAGTACTACCAAGTACTACCAGGTACTACCAGGTTTACTACCAAGTACTACCAAGTACTACCAAGTACTACCAGGTACTACCAGGTTTACTACCAAGTACTACCAAGTACTACCAAGTACTACCAGGTACTACCAGGTTTACTACCAGGTACTTAATGAGTTATTATACGACTTAATGAGCCATTATACATGTCTTTGAAAGACAATAAAATTAATATGGCTATTCCCAGGTAGTACGTAGGTGATATTTCATAGTCCATACACAAGACATTCTTTCTTTTGTAACTTTGCCGAGGTAGAAAGGGGGACTTTTGTTACATCAGATTGCTCAGCTATCTATTTGCAAACACAGCTATCTATTTGCAAACACACTTTTGCTACATATTCCCAGGAGGCATAATATTTAACAGGCAGCACTTTCACCACCCATCTTTCTCAGATTGCTTGATTCCGAGCTACTATATAGCTAATGCAAGACAAAAAAGTATTAAAATCTCACAGGGTCATCAAAGTTGAATGGCCTCTGCTTCTGTCTGACATAGTCTTCTGGTTTCTGACACTTTGGCATGTAGTCAAACGTCAGCTGTGGATATTGACATAGGTTCGATATTATAGAAAAAAATAGTGACAGAGGCATACATTTGAGGGGAATGGGGGCTTTCACAAAAGTTCAGCCTTTTTAAAATATGTATATAATTATACTACACATTGACATTAGGTAAAAGAGAGAGATGTAAAGAGCATACCTACCAACCATCCACCAGAAAATCGCCAAATCCCTCTTTTTTGTGCTAACCTGTGATGCATACATTGTGAATGGACATGCAGCATTTTCAAGCAAAACTACTCCAAATCAAGCAAATTTGTACACATTTCTCAAGCAAAGGTTTATCTGCAGGTTGGTAGGTATGAAAGAGTGTTGTAGGGAGTTCAGTACAGTGGGTTAATTCTGTGAGCACCAACTCGTGCATGAGCAGGACAAAGTTACAATCCGATTTATGCCGATGTTTTCAAATTATCAACATACCTCTCTCAGATCTTTTATAATGACTTCGCAAGAGCCTTCCTGGTGCTAATAATAGAATGGTATATAAGACTATCAGCTTCAGAAAACAACAAAAGATGACTGTACAAAAACAGAGTTTATGTGTTGACTCTACTCACCTTCAAACAGACAGGACAGGAGCAGTTTTCTCTCTTCCGTCTCTGGTCCCTCTTGAGCAGAATGAGTCCAGCAACCACGTCAGATGGGACGATATCGAGGTCACCAAACACCGTGTGCAGAGCCCTTGCAGCATCTTGCATGGCTACACCAGAGGATCTGTTACTGCTGGACACACAGCAAAGGAGGGTTTGTAGACGACGGAATATCTTTCGGTGGCCGAGTTCCACGTGAAACGCTTTACGTCTCCGACCAACTGTCCTGTTTGTGGGAAAAAAACAAAGTGCAATGATAAACAAGGCGACAAGGGAGGTAATAAATGCAATGAAAAAGCACTAAAGTGCAAACCCTCGGCGAACTACGCATGCGCGGTACCGCTAATTGATGGGCTGGGCTATTAGTGTATGCGTTTACTCGTGGTCTCCCGCTAGAGTAGCTCGCGGAGAGTCTGACATGGGCTAGCTACAGTAGTAGATAGCATGCGGGAGTCGATACACGCCCTTCGTTGTGGCTTCTTGTGCCTCCGAGGTACACAGAGCAAGCGGATCAGGTCGAGGTAAGCCAGTCTCATCTAGCATAGCTTGTCTTTGGCGCAATAGCTTGTCTTTGAAGCAACATCCAGTGTCATCGAGTAGGTGCTGCGTTTCGTGGTCCCGAAGTGGCACAAACGGCTCGCGGTGAGCTGCAACTCATTCACGGCATACTTTGGAACGGAAGGTTTTTGGAAAAATCACGAGTCAAAATCCAAGAAAAGCCTACGAGGAAACCCGTGTGTATGGTTGCTTGCAGATATAAATGGACGCTGAAGCAGCTAGAGCGGTAGGGTAACATATACACAGACAGACACACAAGACAACTACAGTAACCTCGCGCATGCGCGCCGAGGGTATATAATTATATTGCCACAAAGTTGCCAAACTAGAGGGTATGAGGCTGTGCTTCATATCAGCGTGTGATTTTGTGATCTCATCACCAGAGGACATTGTATGTTTGTGCATAAAACACGTTATATGTACTGGGTGGCCTGGCTTTGCACTGTTTTTACAACCCCATCTCTCGCAATAATAGCGGCCAGGCTTGGGTGGGTGCACACAGCAGGGCTGAATAACACTGCAGCGTATGTCAGACTGGTGGCTACGTGAAAAACAGCAGCACGCAAACGCAGGACGCAGAAGCAAAGTCTGGATTTTGGAGCTTTTTCTGAGGGACGCGGGATCCAAATCCTTGCTCTGGTATATAGAATGCGGGACAGTTTTCCAGAGCTTCTAGCAAACTACGTCTGCGATGGTACTGGTAAAATCCCACATTTTCCACAGTACACACTTATTAGCACACGTATGGTCTAAACTCACCAAACAGGCATACTATAACCAGTGGTTTTGTCTTTAGTTTTTAAACCATTTTTGGTGTGAAAGCAAATGCAATGGAGGTATACACCATGTACGTAGTCTCACACATTAACGACAAAAAAAGCAGGGGACTACGCTCGTCATGTCCAATTTTCCAGGAACAAATGAATCCTTCCTCGTCCAGTGTGTGGTTTTTGTTTTTTGGTTTCTCTGTTCCAGGTCCTCCGAGTCTTTAATGCGTCAATGAACGAAGGGGAGCAGAGACAGAGGGGGGGCAAGAACATCACCAAACCGCCACTAACCTGGTGCACCTATAAGTCTCCTCCCTCGCATTCAACACCAGCCAAAGCACAAAAAAAGACAATAGTACCGGAAACGACAAGATTAAAGACACAATCAGTTAGCAGCGCCACACCAGCGAAAAAAGAGAAGCAAACGCAGACAATACAAGGAGGAAAATGAACCGACAAAGAGCCAGACACCGATTCAGAAAAAGAACAAGAAAGAAATGAAAGAAGAAAAAAAGAGGACCAAAAAAAAGAACAAGAGAGTAAGATAGCACAGAAAAGAACGTACAGAAAGGAAGACAAAGACGCAAAACAAAAAGAAAAAAAAAAACTCAAGCGAAAGAAAGCAAAGCCCCACCCTCCCCTCCCCCACCCTCTCACACCTACTCCCATCCTCTTTCCCATCTCTACACTTCACTCCTCTCACCCTCCTTCCTCTCCCAGAGCTAGTGTCAGGACCACGCCAAGGAGACAATCACTTTGGCAAATCCAGGGCCCGTCACGTAGCTATCACATTACACTTGCGTTCCCACCTTACACTGCCGTCGAAAAGTTCCAAACATTTGTGATATGAGTGTGAGTAAGTATTTCGATGACCATTAGACACACGGACTTCCACGGCACATGGAAAGTACTTTCGGGTGTTGGCCGTGTTGGCATCCGCCCCCCTCAGACTGAGAGAGGTCTATGCTCCTTCATTCCGATGGTGTAAAAGAGTGCGAACCACGTTGAAGCGATAGACAGGGAGATGAAGAACACTGGAGGGAGGTTGACTTTCGTCTTCGCAGTAGTCAGTTGGGAAAAGAAGTAGGACAAGTGCCCAGAGTGAGGACCCAACCCTGTGGTGTGTGTAAGATGCAACAGAGGCCACTGACTTTAGATAGTCTCGAAGGCCCCAAACCCCTCAGGAGGGAGAGATATGTGACTTGCAAGGAATCACGTTTTGACGGACTAGCTTACAAGGTAGAAGAAAACTTCCTGTTGGTTCACCGCTTCATGAAGATATAGCAGAAAAATGCGCTCGATATTAAGCTAGTGCAAGAAATATAATATGACCCAAAAACCTAATCGGGACAAAAGCTGCTGCGCGTAACGGGGGTAAACGTCTTACAAAAAACCCGCATTGCATCATGAATGCATGAAACTCAAGTATGGCAGGGAGAGGGACGATGGCGAACGAGAGAGGGACAGGGAAATTGTGAAGTCGTCGCTGCCGGAGTGCCAGGTAATCTAAGGGGAAGATGCCCAGTGCGACGGCGCCGAGAACGGGGGGGAATTCGCTATGCCTGCACTACCGTTTTGCCCACTATACAGGGCGGGGAATAACGAAGCTCTATATCGATCACTACGCGCGGGTCCTTATCTGCTACTTTTTATGCTCGGACCGGTCTTCCCCCCCCCCCCCCCCCCCCCCCCTCTTGCCTAGTCGTGTCCACT